TAGGTTAGGGTAAAATTTAATAAAATTAAATTTAAAACTATTAAACATATATTAAAAATGTACTTTTTAATAACATCAATTCAATAACAAAACAAACGGGAAGGGACCTGCTTTATTCCTGCAAAGGCGTTGAATTTTCTCTATTTATTTTTATTATTCTTGACTGAAACTAAACGGTGATGTATTTGAATTATAAAAACTGAAATTAATATAATTTGACATTACATAACGTTTATAAATATTTTAATAAAATTAATAAATAATAAAATTTAGTGACTTAAAACAAATATATTTATATAGCATGTTAACATATTAATATTAATGTATATTTAAAAAGTATAATAGATTTTATCAATTTTACCTTTCACGATTTCATAAATTTATATGTTTCTATCAAATATCATGTCAATTTTCAAAGTAAATATCACATCAATCGAGTACGATGCAAACATTAATTAAAATATTATAAAGTTGGGTTTGAGTTCACAATACTTATAACATGTTCAGAAAAAACAGTAGAAATGTTCAAAATAAAGTGTTAGAAAAATAAATTTATAACATGTCCTAAGTGCTATTTGTTTGTTTCGAGCTAAAATTCATTTTACTCTTAAAAATATGTTCGACTATATATAATTATTTTCCATTAAACTTTACTATATTTTAAAAAACAATTAAACATAATTATTTTCCTTTAAATAAATATTAATCAACATTAAATTTATAAAATTAGAGCCATTCAAAATCAAATTTACAAAACGTTGACCGAAACTCTTATTTGGCTTGTGAAAATATGATACAAGATTTGAATTAAATTGAATCACCCATTGCGTTATCAATCACATTTCACATTACTGAATACACAGCCTTTTTGATATTTTCTGTCTTCCACCGACTCACCCTCGGCTTCGGTGATTTTCGTTTTAAATGTGGTGTATCATAGCTAAACGACGCTGCGTACGACAAGCCCGCTTCGATTCTGCGGGCCCTCTTCAAGAACCACCAATTTTGTCAATTCAGAAATTATTCTTTTCACAGCAAATTATGAAAATTAAGTTTCAATTTCCATAATGATTTTTAAAACATCGAAATTTATTTTCATTTCTCTTTGTAACTTTGACGTTTATGTATACTATTTCCTACCTAGCGTGTACTTGGGTAAGATTTTAATGGAAAAGGAAAATTAAGATATAATGAAATTTAGAGATCGGTTGGTTTTTAAACAACATTTTATTTTCTGGTTTTAAAATTTTATACAAACAAAAATAAAAATTAAATGAAAATAAGTAACAAACTTATAAAAAAAAATGCAAGAAGTTTTAACCATATTAAATATGATTAGTGAGTTTAAAATTTAGGTTTAAAATCTAAGTATGTATGTTTCTGCTAACAATTAATCGAGTCAGCGTCACGTTTTTAATTTATTAATTTCTTATTCTTGTTGCTAGTTTTTTTTTTTTTCTGTCATTTGTTACACTGTTAATATTAAACATTTAATATTCTTTTCAGTTGTCTATGTAAGCAAAACACCAAAAGAAAGAAACAAAGAATATCTCAATACAATAGCAATGAATATATTATGTAAATATAGTGGAACTAAGTAAAAGGTTCTCTCTATACACCCCATGACCATGGCACAAAAATAATATTGTCATAGAACTGGAATAATAATGGCACAACATTGGAAAGTTGGCACTGTTGCACTATGAGTTGCAAAAATGAGATATAATAGGACAATAGAAAGAGACATATTTGCTCAATTATCACCATTCTTTGGGTCTCTAAACATTTCCCGTTAGGGTTAAACTTTTTATAGGGGAACACTGGTGGATACTAGTTTTTTTCCCCTTTTTCTCTTTTGTTGAACACTATAACTAGCTAAAATCTTTTAATTGGATGTTGATATAGCTTGAACTTGAACTTACATGAATGATTGAAACTTTATTCTTACTTTCTATTAACTGTATTTAGAGTTTAACACTTGTTCTCAATACTTATTTAAGCTGCTCACTCTTCGATTTATTCTGTGGTTCTCATGTTGATTGAAAAATTAATCTATAAACTTGACATATGAGTAGTCTTATTGATTCCATTACCTTCAAAAAAATTGTAATGAGTCTTATGGTTTTGTTTGATTTGGTAAGTTTCCATCCTTATATTCTTGGTGAAATGGTCGAAAAATCAATATTTTGTTAAACTTTTTCAGAGGACTAATGAATTATTGAATTAGTCTTTAGTTAATTAAGGAATGCAACCACAAAACAGCATCCCAGCTCACATATTCATCTTACATTTAAAAAAATTTGTAATTATTGTTTTTTGTTTTCTAGATTACTTTGTTTAATTTGTGTGTGTTGATAAAATTTGCTTCAATCTTGAATTCCATAATCGAGAAATAGAATTAATATAGTGTATAAATACTTGAGTCTAACCTATCTTCGTAAAACAATGTTTTCTTTACCTTTTATTACTCGTATGGCTAGTATAACTATATAAAGGGCCAACGCTATAAAGGCCAAATAAGTTAATTTTGACCGTTAAAATTATATTAGTAAGAAAAATTAATCACCAATGTATATTGATCTGGCAGGGAGAAATTTGAATATCTTAAACAGGTGACGTTGACTTGAATAATATAATTTTGTATACATAAAAAATGCACGACCCTACAATACATTTTTTAATTAATAATAGATTATATATCAAAAGTTAGATTATAAATATTTTGATGAGTCAATAAATGACATTAGATGTTAAATTTCATAAAATGACACACTTAACAGTTTTTAATTAAATATATATTTTATCAATTTAATCATTAAGTTTAGAGTTATTATAAAATTAATAAAATTTATAAATTTTTATTTACATAATTACGATGACAATATAATATGAATCAACGATGGAGTTAAACAAACTATTTTTAATGATAAATTATTGTAAATATCATTAGACTAGATTTGTCAGTACATTTCATCTCTTCTCTATTATACAAATACAGAATTTCATACATAATTCTGAATAAAAAATGACAGGAAGCTAATGTCGTCATTGGTGGCAAATGAAGGAAAAATGGATGATTCCATAACTTAGTTTAACAATGAGTTAAGATTTTGTGACAGGTCTTGTTATTCAGCTTATGAATTGGATGACGTCGTTGGCCTGCTAATTCAGCAACGACTGCTCGAGAAAAAAACTCAAGTGCACGAACTTTGTAAATGTAAATGTCTGAAACTGTAAGGATAGTAGGATACAAAGGGAGAGAGTAAGAATGTTTCCGTGAAAACACTTGTTTTAAGCTTTGATTTGAGAAACAAGCTACGTATATAAATATATGTTTTTTCTTCTTCTTTGTATTCTTGTACTTCATTATCATCGTGATTATTATTAAGGTGAAATCTTAAAACTGTAAACAAATATTGAAAATTGAGATGACAATGCCTGTAGTACTTGCATCTATATGTGTAGGCAATGACTATTCTTTTTTTTTTTTTAGTTCTTGAGATACTTAAATCTTCATTCTTTCATTACTTAGATATTATTTAATCATAATAGTTCTTTGATGTGCTAAAAAATATAAATATTATTATAAAATAACAAGCATTTTAAATAACATTAAATATGGTATAAAATTATAAATAAAACAATTTATCTAACATCAAATATAATGCAATAAACTATCAAATTAAAAAAATATAATATTTTAATGTTTAATAAAAACAGAAGCTAGAGAAAGAGCTAAAAATTTATATTATATATATATATATATATATATATATATATATATAATGTGCATAGTGTGAATAAATAAATATGAATATTATAATACTCTCACTTGCGATTGTTTATGCATATTTGATTCTAGATCTCGTCAAGTATGTATTTATTTTATCAAATGTAGGTATTTGATAAATAAAAAAAATACTTATTGTCATTTCTTAAAAGAATATTAAATTTTCTTGGAGCATCACAAGTTGGGAGGGAAAATTATTCTTTGAAGAACACTTCATAAATTTTTACTTTTAATAAAAATATTTTACCGATACATTTGTAATTAATATTAGACATTTTTAAATTAGACTGCGGAGAACGTATTTGCTTAAACTTTATTTTTTCTGAAAAAATACATATCTTGTATATAAAAATTTAATAATATATTTATATTTATATTTAAATGAACACAAATTCATACTAAAATGTTATTAATTATAATTTTATATGAAATTTGTATTTTAAAAAATTTCAACGCGTTTTTAAAGACAATATAATTTTTTCGTCCAACATAATATATATTGGAATATAAAGTTTATAATTAAGACCAGTTTAAGAATGTGTCCTGGATAAGCCTAACGGTCTAAAATGAACAGAGTGAAAGTAGGTAGAGTCTAGAGAGTATAATGTATTAAAATGAAATGGATAATTGCACACGAAACGTCATATATTACATTTAAAAAATTATTATAAAAAACTTATAAACACTAAAACGCGAGTTTTTATTTTATTATTATTTGGAAGAAAAAGCAATATTTAAAATGTAAATATTATTGGTAGCGTGGCAACAGAGGAAAGGAAAGTATATTGAGTTGGGAGGGAAGAGAGGGACAGGTGGTGCTCGTAGAAGGCCTTTCCAATCCATAATGGGGGAAGAAAGGTTTTTGATATTTATGATTAAATAGAATTGGCAACGAAATAAAAAAAAAGAAGAAGAAAAGGCAATTATAAAATGTGCCCTCTTAAAAGTTATAATTGTGTTCTGGGGCCGCGAGACATTTCTATGGTGGAAATTGCAATCCCAAACGCTAAGCTAAGCTGGAAAGAAAGAAAAAAGGTCCTCTCTCTCCTTCTCTGTCCTGCTCCCGTCCGTGCTACTACTACAATAGTAATACAACTTGCTGCCTATTCCAAATTCCAATAATAATAATAATAATAATAATTATTATTATTATTATTAATTAATATTTATTAGTATTGTTGGTGCAGGGTGCAGAGTGCAGAGCAGAGAAAGAGAGAAACATTGGTTAAAGAGAGAGAGAGAGAGAGAGAGTGGAAGAAACAGAAGCAGAGGAAGAAGAGAAGACCATAGCAGTAGCATGGATTCTTCTCCGTCTTCTCTCGCTTCGTGCCCACGCCATCCTTACACCAATTGACACAACTCAGAAAGGGACCGATTCCCATTCCATTATTCCCCCTTTCAGCACTCTGGCTGACATAAAGGCAACCCTAAACTCCATCTCCTCCATTCTCGTCGATCGCTTCCATTTCAACTCCAACGCCAAGAACAAGAGAAGACGCTTTCGCCGCGTTCAAATGTTGTGGTTAATGAGATTCTCCGGCTTCTTCTCCGCCGCAATGCTCCTCATTCTCCTCTCCCCTTCCCTCCAATCCTTCCACCCTGCCGAAGCCATACGCTCCTCCCACCTCGACGGTTACCTCCGTCTCCCGCTTCAGATGCCACCTTCCGACCGATTCTCCTTCCGCAGAGCCTCCGCATTCCGCAATGCCGATAAATGTGGTTCCAACTGGAGCGGCGTCTGCGACCCTTCCCTTGTCCACGTCGCCATCACTCTCGACCTCGAATACCTCCGCGGCTCAATCGCCGCCGTTCACTCCATCCTACAGCATTCGCAGTGCCCGGAGAACATTTTCTTCCACTTCCTGGTGTCGGAGACCGATTTGGAGGCGCTCGTGAAATCCACTTTTCCTCAATTGAAGTTCAAGGTGTATTACTTCGATCCGGAGATTGTGAGGAACCTGATCTCGACCTCGGTCAGGCAAGCCCTGGAGCAACCGTTGAACTACGCCAGGAATTACCTGGCGGATCTTCTGGAGAGCTGCGTGGGGAGAGTGATATACCTGGATTCCGATCTGGTGGTGGTGGATGACATTGCCAAACTGTGGAGCACGAGCCTGGGTTCTAGAACCATCGGAGCTCCGGAATACTGCCACGCGAACTTCAGCAAGTATTTCACGCCGTCGTTTTGGTCGGAGGCGCGGTTTTCGGCGACGTTTCGGGGGAGAAGGCCGTGCTATTTCAATACAGGGGTGATGGTGATAGATCTGGTGAGGTGGAGGAGGAACGGGTACACGCGGCGGATAGAGAGGTGGATGGAGATTCAGAAGAGCGATCGGATCTATGAACTGGGCTCGCTTCCACCGTTTTTGCTGGTTTTCGCGGGACACGTGGCGCCCATTGAGCACCGCTGGAACCAGCACGGTTTGGGTGGCGATAACGTGAAGGGGAGTTGCCGGGACCTGCACGCTGGGCCTGTTAGCCTTTTGCATTGGTCCGGTAGCGGCAAGCCCTGGCTCCGTTTGGACTCCAAACGGCCATGCGCACTCGATACTCTGTGGGCCCCATACGATTTGTACGGACACACGCACTGATTGTTCAACCAGCCATAAGCAAGGGTAGTCGCCGGTAAATTCTCTTCAGCTTCAGTCCACGACTGCTTTGTCTATTTCTTTCTCTCTCTTTTTTTCATTTAATTTAATTCTCATTTCGGTTCAATTTTTTCCCCTTCCTTGATTATTATTTTGTCCCCTCTTCTATTCTATTCTCCTTACTGTGAACAGATCAGATATCTACCCATTTTTCACTAGTTTTTCGTGTATTTCTTCTTATTTAGACTTCGTTTCTCAGGCCATTTGTATTCAATTGTTCTATCTTAGATTCTGTGGTTCTTGCTCTGAAAATAAATAAAATAATAAAGAAAGAACGGGTGGATCTTCTAATTTCTTCTTCTTGTCATTTTAAGTTGAGCGATGATCTGTAGGGGTATGAATGAACACGGATTAAAAACTCTGTCCTCTTTAGGGAAGTGGAAATTGGGAAGAGAGCCTAATTATTGTGCTTTCTCAACAACCTGTTAATTTAAATAACTGCAACTAACATGATTAAATTTTGATTTATTTGTTTCGTAGCTGGTGTCTCTTTGGGTTCGTTTTTTATCACTGGGAATTAAACTATGCTGTCTTGAATTTGAGTGGGAAGTGGGAAGAGAACATAATAAGTGTGTTTTTTAATAGACCCGTTGAATTTAAATCAATGCAACTGTCATTGTTAAATTTGATTTATTTGTTTCGTGACTGGTGTCTGTCTGGGTTTGTGTCTGATGATTACTGGGAAATTGCCTGTGTTCTTCCAGCTAAGCGGTACAGACCGACCTACGGATTAATACACCTTGGTGTGACTGAGGTTGGTGGGTAGCGAAGCGGTAGACCATGTGCAAAATTTTTGTTTATCCCATTTTTTGTTTTTTTGTAAACATACTGTTCAATAATCAAATTTGTGTTTGTATGGGGATATTGGTACACCGCTAGTACGCTACTTGTCAAAGGGAACAAAGAAGAGAAGTCGAACTGTTATGCTTTGTAGTTATTTTTAGTTAATAACGTAATAAGCAAAAGGCGGAAGACACGTAAATTGTCAGATGGCTTTGTTGTCCACGTCTTACATAGAAAGAGAAGCAAAGAAGAACACAGGCTATGCTTATGTTTAATACATGGGGGTGTCTTGCCGGCAGCTGAAGCCAATGAGTTTGTGGATTGCGTTTGCAGCTAAGGTCGCGGACTCTCACCCTGCTTCGGTGGCAGCGGCGGAACATTTGTGAACTCTCTCTCCCACGCTGCATGCATTCCTTACGGTGTCGGTCTCACTCTTTATCTCCTTTTCACCGCACCACCACGTATACTTGGCAATTCTTTCTCTCTTTTAATTACACCATCCTGTTCTTTATTCAATTTTCCCCCACAATAAAATCAAGTCTCGAAGGATGGATGATCCTTTTTTTTTTGAAAAAAAAAATAAACACATTTAAAGAGTTATGATGAAAGCAAAGCAAGGGGTTGGACAAATCAAGTTCAATGGTTATGTGGGTTGACCGAGCCTGATGTCATTGTTGCTTGTAAGTGTCTACTTAATGAGATGGCGCGGGGACCGATTCCTCTTTCCCTTGGAATCACACGTAGTCAGTTACTTGGAGTCTTCTGTGCAGTTTAGGGTTACATGTGTTCATTGTGCATTTTAAATGTATTTTATTTCTTGAAATTGTATTCGGGAACGGAATAGAAGCGGTCATCGTGAAAAATACATGTGATCGGTTAGAATGGAGTATATCATTTGATTGTTTTTGTCAAAAATTATATAATTGAAAGTAGGTTGTGAATAATATATCCAAATTATGCATATGTGAGCAACGTCGTTAGCTTTTAACATTGCTAGCTGGGGGCCTTATGATACTTGGATTGTAAATTAAATTATGGAAAAAGTTCTTTTGTCGGATTTAAGATAATATACTACTAATGTAAGATTAAGACGTTGCATCTGATGCCTGGGCCTACGATACATTGTATGGGAAATGGTAAATGATCAGTTTTTTGACATTGACACGTTTGCTGCCACAAATATTATAATAAAAATGTAGTATTTTTATATTTTGATTTAATAACATATGTTTGGAGATGGACACGGAAGGGTTGGGACATAGATGAGGCGAAGCTAATGATGTGGCAGCTAACAGCATACGCCAATCTGAATTCATTGCATCAATTGATTATGTAGCTAATTGAACTATTCGATTTCAAAGTTTTATTATCTTTTATGCGCTTTTACATTTATTTTTTTGTATCTTAGCACTTGCAATGGTCTCATCTGCATGAAACGAAATAAATTATTATTAATTTTTTATAATTGCTTGTCACCAAAATTTCAGTGGGTAAAGGTAGTTAATTCATGTGGATGGGATCGCAAACCGATTCGTTTTACAATACCAATATGCATATCTTTTCATGGATCTAATGTTAAACCAGTTGAAGGTAAATAAAACAAGCTCAAGCCGTGCAAAGCTGCAAAATGCGAAGATTTCTCACGACAATTCCTGGGTGCGGGTAATTAGGCGAGGTTCAGGCCCATAGCCAAGCTTAATCCACTGGTTCATTTGTTCTTGGTTTTGGTTTTCTTTGTCTTTCGTTCAGAAGTCATATCCTAATTCGTAAGACATTTAGAAGCTGTTTGGATGGCAAAAAAGTTGTTTTGGGGAAGGAGATGTGAATTCTTTTATTTTAAATAAATATTATTTAATTTGATAAATTTTCAGCATAAAAGATATGTAATGATAAGTTAACATAAATTTAATAGATTAACCATTTATTATTATTAAAATAATAATATAATGTTTAATTTAAAGTTAATTTTCCTCCCCCTTTTTTTTTCCTTGGATCCCTTTCTAAACAATCCTTAAATGGCAAATTAGCAACGATAAAAAAATATTGAAAAACCCAATTTGGACCCTTGAGTGAACTAGAAGGCTCCATCAATCATTACATGCTAAGAATAAAATTAATAAATAATCTTTCTTCAAATAATATGTTGAGCAGTCGGTGTAGCTGGTTTCCTTTCGAGCACAAAATTCTATTCTATAATAAATTTGCTTACAGCCTTACCGGGAAAACCATATAACTTCAGGCGCAACAATCAAAATTACTTATAGCTGATCATATGTAATGTGTATTAATTTGACATATCGTGTTCCACTAAATAAGGTTAATTGAAATGCAATTCAACAATTCTGGCAAATACTTCTTTAAACCATTTTCCCCATCTTTAGGTGGATGCTTCAACTAATTCCTTTATGAAATGTTCAAAATAGCAAAACACTTAAAGACTAGGGTACATAATCAAAACCATATAAAGAGAGTTGATAAAATTATGGCGACCTTTTTAGCAATAATTTTTTTAAAAAATATTTTTGTTACATATCAGCACTGAGCGGTTGGGAAATATTTCTTTTATTGTTTCGTTTGGATGGTAAAAAAAATAAGGAGGAAAGAGATTTAAGAAAAAGCTGAAAGAAATACAAAATAAAAAATATATTATTTGAATCAATAGAAATCCAAATGAAATAAATGTGAACATTTTTCTTTATTTTTATAAATGGAAGAATGAGTATAAGGAAATAGAGAATAAGTGTGAAGATGCTTTTTTTCTTATGTAATGAAGAGAAATGCAAGAGACGAAGAAGAAAAATGTGAAGACCTTTTAGTCTTGCATAGTAGTCATTGATTAGGGTGTATATATACCTTAAAAGATTAAAAAAAAAAAAGTCAGAGAAGACGATGAATATGTAATAATAATAAAAAAGATAGAGAAGTTTAAGTGAATGTAAAATTTGGGCCGTGATAAAGTAATATTCAAAAACATTTAATAACTAATTAAAGTCCCAATTTACGATGAACATATTTTGTACAAACAGGAGATTACAAAGTTTAGATGAGGTCCATGATAATTCAAATGTGTGTTTGAATTATCAACTTGATTTTACAAACTTTTTTTTTTTATCAGTATTGAGTTTCTGGAACAACATAACATATACGAGATACATTTATCTCAAACTTGATTTTTAAAAAATGTGTGGATAGTATAAACCAAAATTATTTTTCAACGCGTAACTGATTAATTATGAATATATATATATATATATATGTGTGTGTGTGTGAACTTTACTATATAATATTGTGATGATAAAATATTAAACTATAAAAATATTTTTATTAATACACGCAAATGTGTCTTTATTTTCAACTTTAATGCGAGGGACTTATTCACCTTACTCTAAGGCTGGTGTGGAGGCCATATTTGAACCCAATTAGGGTTTTGAGTGGTTTCAGCTTGAACCAATAGTATTCTGTTAAATACTGTGTCACAATATTAGTATACTGGTGCTTACTAATTTTTCACACTTAACGGTGAGAATATTTTTATTTTTCACCTTTAAATTCTTAAAAATAACTTAATGAAGCTTGCAACAACACTTGTCATGAGTTGTAATTTTGAATTAACTAAATTAAATAGGCATATTAGCATCCTTAAGTTTATATTATGGACCTACATAGTTTATAAAATATAATTTTATAACTTAAATGCGACAACTTTTGCTATTTTTTTTTTAAATTTTGAGAAGGTATTTTAAAATATAAATATAAAAAAAAAATTATAAAACAAGTAATAAATAATTATAAGTTTTATATTTTCTCATCACCTTCTGTTCTGTCTATTTTTTATTCTCTCTTTTCTTCTATCTTCCTCTTCATTTCTATCATATCATTCATTACATCTATTGTATATATATATATTCCAAAAAATTATTGTATACATTGTTAACTACGATGTCAACAATTTGAGTTTCAACAGAACTGTAAACAAGTTCATGGTAACACGATTCATTTTCAGTAGTCTTCTTGTGGGGAGGAAGTGAGATAATGTATAGATAGCTTATATTGCTTTTAGAACCACAAAGGTTGGCATCCTAGAATCCTAGAAGCAGTCTCAGATTTGATTTCAGAGTCTAGGATGTTGAGCGGTCATTATAACACGAAGGGAAGAAACAAAATGGAGAAAAGGAGCAAGTATGAAAGTATCCAAGAAAGAGAAGAGGCCTTTCGAACCTTCACAGCTAGAAACCATGGTGTGAGTTAATTTGGCCTTCCGGGGACCATAAACATTCCGTGGTCCACCAAGGTTGCTTCTTCTCTTTTCTTGCACGATAGGATTTAAAATGTCCACACTCAATTAAGAATATAATCATAATATTCTTTATTATGTACAATAATTCTACTTTTTTCATGAGCTAATTTTTAAGGACGATTCAAGGTTTTTTTTTTTTATAATGGTATCAAAGTATATCCATTTTGAATGCTTCATGCTGAATAAATTTTAAGAGAATTACAGCTAATTTTCTAATATATTATTAACATACATTCACACATGCTACAAAATTTATCTCTCTAGATAAGCACCAAAATATCACAAAGCAGCCTCATGGTTCCCTCATTCACGTGGAACATACCTGTATGTGTGTTGAAAAACGCTCATGTGAACTGGGGTGCCCAAGAAAGGACACCTTCCATTGAAAACTGTTAATAGTGTTTGAATTTCTGCGGGCATGGACCTTAACTTTGTTAGGTTTTATGACAAACATGAATGCTTTTCTAAATGGTTGGCCAAAAGGCTGAAGCTAGCAGTTAATGAAGGCAGGTCCTTTCTGATATAATTGCAGACCTTTACTCACCCGGTTGCTGCAAGTTTTAACTCCAACTATCCAATCTTGATTTTCATATCTTTTTCATGTGTAGGTGCTAAGCACATATCGGGTTATGGCTTTGGTTACAGACGATAAAATTGGATTCTTCCAAACACGGTCAAAGTTGTGGATCCTCTCCAACCTACCCAAATAATTTTTTTTTATTATTTATAAAAATTCCAGTTCCTCGTTTATTATGTGTCACACACAGTTTGGGGTCTTGAACTCTTGTTTGCTGTCTATTGATGTAACAGTGATACGATGGAAAACATATAGGTAAAAATCAACAAAGGATCCAGTGATGAATGAACTTACAGATGGCTGGTGACAAAACAACACATATCAAATGTGCTATTTCTTTCTTATCTTTTTCTCTTGTCTCTTTAACTAAATAATGCCATATGGATATTTATTATTTTTAATAAAAAAATACTTATCAATTTTTGAATCAATATTTTTTTAGATCACGTGTATACTTCAACAGAAATAATAGTGTTCGACCTAAGTAGGACTACTGTAAGCAACTTGAATAAATATTTTTTAAATAATCATTACAGAACCCATTAAATTAATAATGATATGCAGTAAGAAAATGATAACTAAGAAGAAAAATATTATCATTTGAAAAATATTAGTCATTATTATTCAATGTAAGCAACACGAGAGAAGACAAAAGACTTAAATTCCAAACAGGACATGCTTGTCTATTGCCAGTTCCGTCTCCAAAATAAGGAATAGGTTGTCCTTCACGACCATGATCCATGATAGCATAAGGAGGGGACCATCTCGGTAACATCCATAGACCTCCTAAAAGGGACCAATCACACTCTTGTCTCACTCGAATTAATATCACCTTAGACAACGTTGAATTGATTCAAGCATGAGGGAAATGCTGATTCCACGACTCTGACACAGATTAAGGAAGGGTAATACTACTAATGTAGGGTTGCCTGTAATCTCATGTCGATACATTATCGCGTGGGTGTGTTTTTGTGCGTATAGAAGACATACTGTACACTCATTTCGTTAGAAAATTGTTTGCTTGATAGTGCCACTATTTCATGGAAAGTGACACACGATGTTAATGTAAAATACAGATTCTATTTATAATTAACATGGACGTTTTGTTTCTGCGTCAAATTCATTCAATCGTACGTCCATCCATTTCAACGCTATAAGTTATAGTTTTTACTTTGAAATATAATTTAACGTGATTTTATTAGGCTTCTAAACATGCACAAAGTTTATAAGCATTAAACTTGAATCCAAACATCCTATACATTACACAAAATTTTACTGAGAGTTTTTCTGTGTTGTAAATCAATACAAATTACCCATTGAAACAATCATGTTCTGCCAACACCCTGAGATCGGGTACATAAATAAAACAGAATCATTTTGTACTCTACTTCATCTTCCTTCAATGTGAGACAAGAATTTGGTGGTCACAGACAAGAGTTTCCATTAATTCCCACATAACCTAAACAAACTGGAGACAGGCTCAGTTATTCTGATCCCAGCTCTCTTGTGCAATCACTTCTTTGTGACAACGCTGTTGACTTAGATCTCGACCTTCAGAAAGTGACTCTAGTACAATGTGGAATTGGCTTTAATTTTCTTTATGTTTATCCCTCTGAATTCTGGAAATGATAACAGAAATGATGACATTTGAATTCAACCTAACATAGCTTAAATAAATAGAAGTTCCATTCTTCATTTCATTTTTTTTATTGCATGGAGAAGTCTGTGTGTTTTTCAACATGATCAACAACATTAAGAACCATGACTCGAGACAAAGAAATCTCCCCTCCAACAAGGAAGCTCCATGCAAGTAATTAATAATCAGACAATTTTTTTTTGGAATGATGATACGATCTTTTGCAGAATACTTATCCAATGTGAACACCTATACCTTACAATTGGCCAAGTCACCATAAATACAGTTTTGAAATTTAATAATTTGTTATTATTTACTAAAAGATAATCTCAACCAAACATATGCTAAATTCAGATTGTTGTCCAAAGAACAATGCTTCGCCGTGGGTTTAGTTCGAAAGCATGGAGGATTGCAACATAACTGCTCTGTCCAAAAACGGTACTTTGAGATAAATACATTGCCGGCCTAGGCGTATTTCAATTTTTTTATCACATCTCTGTTAAAAAAATTTGCAACTTTTCTTAAAAAAATATTATGATGATAAAATAAATTTTGCAAATACGTTTTTAGAATTAGGTTTTCACACTTTAGACATTAATTTTTTTATAAAAAAATTATAATTAAGATTTTATACTTTTAAAAATTAGTTTTTAAAATTAGGTTATTGTATTTCTAGAAATTAAATTTAAAAAAATATAGAATTATAATTTTAAATACTTAATTTTGAAAATGGTTAATAATTTAAAAATTATTTTTTTGAAGTGTAAAATCTTAAATATAGAAACTAGAAGAATAAAATCTTATTTCTAAAATTATTCTTTAAAAGTGTAAAATCTAAAATTCATAAACTTATTTATAAAAGTGTACAAATTAAATTTTTGATAGTGTAAAAATGTAATTTCAAAAATTAATTTTTGAAAGCATAAAATTATTTTTATAGGAGTGTCCACATTCACATGTAAATGAAGACCAACAAAAATGTCATTTTTAATAATAAATTAAGCTTTTTTTATAGTATTTCAAATAATAAAAGTAATTAGATAATATTACTATTTAGAATATGTTTAAAGAAGATAATAATAAAATAACAACAAAGCTTAGAGTAGTGAAAAAGAAAAATGAAATATTGATAAAAATAAAAAGTAAAATTTTGAGTCTAAAACTTAAAACGAAGATAAAAATTCAATAATTAAAATTATTAAGAATATTATAAAAAAATTAAAAATTAATAAAGTGTAAAATGGGGGAAAAAAAAGAAGGAAGTAAAAAACAATTCCAATTTTAAAAATGTGAACATTGGTTCGAGAAGTGTCTTTTTTTTAGTGCCGTCTAAACTTTTTTGTTTGGATTAGGGTAGAAATTTGGGCTTGGACTTAGGTATAGCGTATCGTCTCCTTTTGCACTGCACGTGCTGGTTTGGTAATCACCTCAAAAATCTTCTAAATGTTTTTTTTTCCGCATTTGGTCAAAGATCGGGAAATGGTGGAATCTCAAACATAGGCCCACAGAGGTACAGCTGTTAAACTTTTATGAGTGGGTTTCTTATTTTGGGTCGGGCTCGAAGTTACTATTTTATATAAAATAATGATGTCCAAAAGGAAAACCTAACAACACACCATATTCTATCTCACCCATCCCAAGCAAGAAAAAAAATCTTTTAAAGAAAAAAAACACTTCAGTTGAAATAACAATTATTGTAGCTAATAAGATTATTTTATGAGAAATATATGTACTGGGAAAAAAAAATTAAGTCATATTGTGTAATTGAATATATCAATTAGTTTATCATTTCTTACTATATTATTTCTTTTAAACTTTCAATTATGAAAATATTAAAAAAAAATTATTCACAACATTTAAATGTGTAATAGGTAATCAATGCTTATGATAATCATTATTTTGATAAATTTAGTTTAATGCTTATAATATTAACTAATATAAAAACTAGTTTAGTAGGCCACATGTATTATATATATATATATATATAATAATTAAAAAAAACACTATTTTTAAAATGTGAAACATTAGAATATATTATAAAAATTGAAAAGATGTAAAAATTGAAAATTTTGAATGATTATAAAACCAATTAAAAATAAACATTGATAGATATTAGATCAATTATAATATATATTTTGACAAAAAGCATAATTTATATTTATAATATTGTGTTAACAAAATGTACATGTACGTGCATTTGATAAGAGTATAAGATACTCTAATGTTAAAAAAAAATTATTATAATTAATAAAAAATGATTATGAAAAAATATATTTAAAAATAATATACATTTCGAAAAAAATATATTCAATTTGTAAAATCCTAAACGCAATTACCTTTGTCACCATGTTCAAAATAATATAAACAAATTAATAAATCATCAGATCTTATTTTTATTATATAAAATTATCAAAATAATAATAATATAAATATATTCATATTATCTCATTTTATTTAATAAATATTTATAAATAAGAATAAAGTGAAATAGAATGGAATAAAATAATTTTAAAAAAAATGTTGAAAAATTAGAATTAATGGTAGCAAGAAAAAAAATCCTGTCGGATGACAAATTATAATGGAGAATGACGAGCAGAGTCTTCCAAAATTTTGATAACATTGCCAAATTGGAATATCAATAAACCCCAGTAAATTGATGAGATGATATATTCGACTTTAAAAAGTTTGAGCTGCCCCAAACAAGGAAAAAAGCAGGGCCTTGTAATTTCAATTTCCTATACTGCCTTACTTGTATGACATATAGATTCCTATTGACTATCAGCCTTTCATTGACTTTGTAGACTTTAATATAGTCTAATCATAAACAAATGTCTGTAAATCCCAGCCAAATTCAATTGAGGTGATGACCTCAGTATAAGGCAACTCCTATAGACAGACCTAAAGTAATTAAAAGCACTTACTAATTAAGTTGGTTAGTATGAGGGCTATGGGTATGGCAGGAACCTCTCTCAGGATATGGCAGAATATTTTGAATCATATTTCCATCATCACCATTGGGGACTGCGGGTAACAAAGTACTGGAAGTCAGGATGATTGACCTGCAAATTCTTCAGCCAATCAGCAGCAGCCTGCAACAAAGAGTTCACCTGCTCCCATTCAGAGGCTCCATTAGGAGTCAAAATTGAGCCTCTCAACTTGTAAGAAGCCAGGGCAAAAGCAGGCAGAGATATTTTTGAGGATCCATCAACACCGTGCACCTTTGTGCCACTAGAAGCATGAGACAGTGCTTGATTTTTCCCTGTGACAATTAGAGATAGAAAATTAGGTACAATAAATGAGTGGAATTGTAAGAGTGAAAAGAGTTAAATTAGGTACAATATACTTCTAGAGTGGGCTGACAAAGAATGGAAGGTTAGGAAAGAAGCATCCAAACTCTTGAGTGTTGATCCGACAGGGATTCTGTAAATTGGATACCTGGAACCAAGTTCAATTTGTTATGAGGACGAAGAACAATTTAGGGAATAGCATAAATGACAACAATAGATGGACTCTTTGATACCTACCATGCCACAGAAAACCAGCTAGAAGGCGATATATCCCAGCTCCTATACTTCATTAGACAAGGAAACTCAGAAGCAAGGACAGAAACCTGAGAGGAAACAGAAATTACTAGTGTCCAAATCAGGGGAAAAAGTTCAATAGGTAGGTCTGAAAAGTCAGGACTTGCCTTATCATGAAAAGGAGGACGAAAATGTGGCTGTTCTCCTTCAAAATACTCATAGACAAGCTGCTCAGGTGAGTTGTAGAACTCAGTTTCATCACTAGAAGAACCCAGTGAAGTTCCCTCTCTCAAAGTCAGTCTGCTAAGTCTCTGAGAATTAATGTTCATCAAGTTACCACCTCTGGCTCGTTTGTCTGCTTCATTATCGCTGCTGCCAGCACTACTTATCTCCTTTGAAGACTCAGTCCCACTGTCCTCATCAAGTCTCCTGGCACAGTTTCAAACCAACAATTAACATGTCAAATAACCATGAAATGGAAGTATGATAATGTCTTGTTTCTAAAGAAATTAGTTGGAAACAATATCTTGAATTGGAAATACAATTTTGTACTGACAAAGCATTAAATAGAGGAAGTGAGATTTTCTTCCAATGCAAGAAATTTAATGTATCACTAGTACTGAATCAGAAAGAATGAAAAAAAGAGTATGTAATTGTCAAGGCACCACTAAAAATTTACAAATAAGATTCACAGAAGTTCATCATTTATTTAAGAAACAGGGTATGATATAATGGCAACAGTGAGTATGATGACTAAATGTTTATAAAATGGTTGTGACCTGCATACTTTTATCTGATGTTTTCAGGTCAATGTTCAAACCGGGTGAATTTCACACTTGAGCAATACCATACTAATGTGAATAGCATGAATTGCACTTAGAAAGATTCATTATCAGTTTAGCCAATAAACTTTTACTCCTAAAACTAAGAGTGACAAACTGCCTTCACCTTACATCTATTTTACTCCATAATACAAAACGGATAACCATTTATTGCTAACCTAGTTGGAACTCATCAGTTCAGTTAGTATGCTTTTATTCAAGAAGCACTTCAAGCATATAGGGCCATACAATGACAGTTGTCGGTTCACTCATTGAAAATGGCAAAACTCCATCCATCCAACCAAAACATGAATCTTTATCTCAATCAGCTCTTAGCATTCTTTAGAAAAGAAAGCTCAAATAGTAAGAAATCAATTTGAACAAGCTGGCTGACAGTTCCATTGTCAGCAATAAGAAACACACCAAACTTTAAGAAAAATCTATTTTAAGTCCAATTTTAACAGCATTTCATCAAATGTTCATCAAATGTTCAAAATAAATGCAAAACCAACAAAAACAAGCCAAAAATCAAGTTGTGTAATAAGAGAAAATTAGAAACATTGATTATATTAACAATAACACAAATGAAGATTTCTACCGACACACCTCAACGCATACAACTGAATTGCAGACAGGTACGGAACATAATATTGCTTAATGGTGTCGTCTCCATCTACAACCAGCGGAACTTCTACTCCATAAGCACTCCACTCTCTGAAAGATTCCCAGAGATCCTCAAGCAAAAAGTAAGCACTACCATTACATTCAATACTCCTCAGTCCCTCCACTACAAGCTGCACAATTCAAAGCGACAAATTAACAATGAAACAATCAAAACACCTACCAGTAACAAACATGCAATTAAACACTATTTATAAATCACTCAATCCAGTAAAAACTATTCATTCTTCTGCCATCTAATTATTTTCACTCCAACCGAAGTAACCTGAGGAACAAGGCACAAAACATGAAGTCCAAGGATTGAATTTAGCACCTCCTTTGAGAATTTTGCAGGGACTAAAGGTGTGAGAGAGGCCAAAAGGCGATCCATGTTACTGGAATTAGCAGCTTCTGGTAATGCCGGTTCGATAGGGACCGGTTCGACCGAGTCGGTCTCCAATGGTCTCTGCTGCTGCTGCTGCTGCTGCTGCTTCCTGTTTCTCCTGATAACAGGAGGGACATAGAAGCGGTTGGAACCGGAATTCTTTGTCAAGGCAAAGCCACTGGAGTTTGACATTGTGGTGATTGAAAGGGAATTGAAGGCTTAGAGAGAGTGTTGAGATTGAAGCAAAGAAGGATTGTGAAGTGAATGAGGGGGTTTTGAATGAATTGAAGAGCATGAAAAGGTTACGTGTGCGTTGCCAGGTTTGGATTTGGGGAGAAGAAACAGAGTGAGTGTGTGTGTTGTTTATGTAGTGATTGATAGTGAGAGTCTTAACAAGACTAAGGAGGAAGATGAGGGAAGAAAGGACCAGTAAATGTTTTTTTTCTTATTTAAATAATTTGATAGCAGTAACTCCCGTGTGGACTTTTTGAACAAAATTTGTGTCACTGTAATCTCAAAAATGGCCTTGGACTTGAATTGACGCATGTGGCCTTGCTTTGTGCTTTTTACTTTCACTTCGGTAAATTTTGTCGTGCATTATTTGACACGCTAAGTACTTGTTAAATATATAATAAAATAAAAATATATTATATATTTTTATTATACTTATTATTATGAATAAAAATATATCAATAATTTTTATTCATAATTTATATTATAAGTAGTTTAGTAGTACATAAGATGCACATATATTTTATTTTAAAATAAAGATACATACAATTTAATAATTTAAAAGCAAAATTTTATATATTTATAAATAATTTTAAAAAAAATAAAATTATTTTAAAATAATATTTTTTAAAAAAATATTTTAATTTAAATCTATAACTACGATTTTTATATTTGGACAATCATTACTAAATTTATTGATCAAACATGATAATTAAGATAGTACAAATCAATATAATTCAAAAATTAAAAAATCTAATTAAAGATATTAAAAAAAATGAGTATAAATCAATATAATTCAAAAATTTATGTCTTATTTTTATATGTTTTAAATTAAATTAATAATAAAAAATATTTACATTTGAACTAATTAAGTTATCTCCAAAAAAAAAATATTTAATTTTAATAATTAATAAATTATAAAAATTATTAACATCAATCTTTAAGATTGAATTTTAATAATTAAAAATATACAATTTTAATAAGAAAATAAATATTCACTGCATTAAAAATATATTTTATAAAAATTCAATAACTTTATATGTATAAATTAATCAGTAACAAACAAAACCTGGGAAAAGTTTTAAAGTTTTGACAAATTAAATAACCATTGAAACATTTAATTGGTAAGTTTTAGAGATTAAAAGACTTAAAGTATTTTCAAAGAACACATACAAAAATTATAGATAACAATAAGTTATGTTTAGAATTCAATATTAAATTAAAAAAATTAAGTAAAATAGAATGAAGTAAAATTAGTTATTATTTCATCATGTAAGTATCTTTATGATGAATAAAAAACAAAACTTAATGTAATACATTCCATGAGATTCTGTTTCTTTTCCACACACACGCACAACCTTGCCAAGCTTAAGATGGTGACTTTTATTTGCGAAAATACAAATGCTATCATTGAGGATAATTTGGCAGAAATAACCATAGCTGCTGAGCATAATGTTTTCAACCCCGCCTTCACCTCCAACTTCAACTTTCCATGAGTCCCTGTTGTTGAAGTCATTGACGGAAGAGTTGTTGTTGGTTAAGCTAAGGTAGGCTGGCTTATATCCTGTTGTTGCTCATTTGCCATTGGAATGTTCCCATTTCTCAATGTTATAATTTATTCAATGTCTTGTTTAACTTTGTTACTGCATAAAAAATTTGCATATGCAGCCTGTTAGCATAACCCAGTCTATTGTTGGAACTTGATGTTGCATACAACTACAAGCAAGGTCTTGGGATAAGAAAGGACTTGTATAATTAGAGAGAGTTTTGATGCAAAAGGTGAGGTTCCTAGCCTAAGCATTCAAATGACTTAAGTCTTGAGGCATTCTCAATGTGGAAGGCAACGTGAAAAATGGTGGAGATAAGAACAAGAGAAAAAAATAAAGAGCACTTGCTCTCCAACATCATTTATTCTTAACATTGGTGGACAATCAATCCCCAAGACTCACGGCCCACACAATAACATTAGTTATTCCCTGATGGCATTCAAGAAAAAATGATTGTTGTGGGACTTTTGATATGTTAAGGTTTAGGGATATCATTTAAGTACTCAGTTTAAATTTTTAAAGTAATACTTTGATTTGGGGTTATGATTCTATATCCATTCATTATGAGATTAAATTGTTCAATTTTAGCATCTATGTTATCAAAGATTAAATGTCACTGGACAGTTCAGTTCATTGTGAACAACAACTCAACAAGGCCATCAGTTTTTTAGTGCATCTCACAGGATTTATTCTAATCCTACCTAATAACCTGACCTTTTAACACTCTAGCATTTTCACCTTTCCATTGGGTAATGCAGTAAAAAAATAAACATGTAATTTAAGTTATTATGTGCGTTGGACAGTTCTTTCCATAAAAATACTTGCGTTTGTAATCTTACAAATGTAGGTTTGATTTTTGTTGTCAATAATATTTCTTAACAAATAATTTTATATGTACAACAGCAAATTGCGGGTAAGATACAAAATACACTTTGATTAAAATGGAAAAAATTCCTCCTTGTTAAACTTACTCAGGAAAAAATGACATGCATTCATAGCCTTTAATAAATTTGTTTAAAAGAAAAAATTTAAACTAAATATTAATAAAGGTTAAATTCACAAAAACAACTTATTCACAATTCATAAAAGTAGGGAACAGATTTTATCCCATAACATGAAGGTTATGTTAATTCATTTTTATATTTTCGTTTAAAGAAAAATACAAAAATAACTAACATGATCCTTATGTTTGCTGTAAAACATAAGAAGATTCTAATTTCACAAATACATCATAATTTGAGATAATATACAATTATTCTTATTTTTTAACATAGTGTAGCTCATCATGTTAGTAGAACCTATTTTAGTGATTTGTTACTTTCCTTTATCAGGTGCCAAGATAGATTCCAGGTGTGGACAGGAGAAAGTTGTTGAAGCCATAGGGTGGGAAGGATGGGAGTGTAGCAACACCAAATCTATAGATTGGTTGAAAATGTAGGGTTTGAAAAAAGAAAGAGTAAAGTAGCAAGAAGAATTAAGGAATTTGAAGAATTTATTTGAATTATTTTGTGAGCTCATAGTAATTAATCTCTTAAAATAGAATTTTTTTTAGATCTCTTACATTCATCCTACAATCACCATTATCATTAATATATATTTTTTAAAATAAAATGTTAATTCAAAAATAACTTTGATTGCATTTATACTTTTGTCTAAGAACATAAACTGATATTGGTGTAGAATTATTTACAATTTGCCAACCTAATTTAATTATATTAGTGACATTTATTTCTCTAGTTCTTCTAAAATTCAAACCACCTAATTGTTTAGGTTGACAAACTTTTTCCTAAGCTTCTAAATAAGCTTTTTATTATTTGAATCTGATCCTCAAATAAAGTCTATGCAAAACTTTTCAATTTCATCACAAATGCCTCTAGATAAAATGATGGCTTGCATATAATACGCAGAGATACTATAAATTGCAGTTTGAGCTAAAGATACCTTAACTTCCAAAGAAAATGTATTTCTTTTTCAATTAGATAGTTTTTACTTCACTTTATCTAAATGAACCTAAAAGTTGAATTAGCTAGTAAGTCTAAACATTATCACATGAACCCCAAGATATTTTATAATATCATTTGTATTGATCATATCCATTTTTTTTTTACATATTGACAATGGATTTAGAGAAAATATATTAAATTTGACATGAAATTTTGCAAAAAGTTTATAAAATTATGCTAATCACACTTACTTGATTATTAGTGGCTTCAAGTTAAAATTATATCATCCGCAAAGAAAAAAAAATATTAAGACCATTCTGACTAGAAGTAAAAGAAGTCCAACAATTATTTTTTACAGCAGATTCAATCACATGAACTAAACCTTGCAATACATATTATAAAAATATGGGGACATATCTCCTTGCATAATACTCCTATTAAGAAAAAAACCAATCAAAATAAGAATCATTCTAGTTTTAGGTCATTCTAGAAGAAAAAAAATACAATTATAAATCAAATCTAGAATATTAAGCATAGCTAACGTTTCTTTAGTAAACTCAAAATTCACGTGGTGATAAACTTTAGCAAGATCAATTTTCAGAATTATGAAATCTTTTAAAATTTTAAATAATGCACAATTTTTTAAAGAATGATTACATTATTTATACCATGATGACCCCTTTATTTTTTAAGAAAGACTGTAATATTTTTTAACCATTTGAAATGTCTTTTATAATATAATAATTAAGCACAAGAAGGGCAAAAGGAGAAAGGTATAATATTTTGCTGAAAAGACAAGGACTTGGGACTGGGACACTGGGTGTTATCGACAGACTGGAAAACAAAATCTCTGAAAAAATGCACCATAATGGCAAGGGAGTTCCTTCCCTAATTTGGGTGTAAAAAGCCAAATTCCCATCATATTCTGCCAGAAACCATGGTAACATTTTTTTTACATATTTTTTATTATATTATTCAACAATTAAAAAAAGTTGAAAAAACGAAACTAATATTATTAACATTTCTCATTGTTTGATGTAGGACCACATACTTGTTTTGTTTGACTATAGAATAAAGAACGATAACTCATCGCTGAGTTACTAGACCTTTATCAGAGTTTGTAACGTATGCTGATGCGCGGCATTCAGAAATTACCAAATATTGTTATGCATGAGGCCAAGGAAACTGAGTTGCTTCTGAAGGTTTGTTTCTGGCTCATATAATGTGGTTGAAATGAATGAAAACCAGTAGTGTTTAGATGTGGGGTCTTATTAAAAAGTTGATTTAAAAAAATAAAAAATTTAAACAATACTGTATGTTTTTTTTTAATTTTATAAATTTAAAAGGAAATAATATCATAAACTTTATTATATTTAATAAATTTAAAAAAAATAAAACCAATATTAAATTGATATATAAATATATATTAAAAATATTTTGTATGATAAAAAAATTCAACTTTAAAAATACTTTTAAAAATGTTCATGTTAAAAATATTTTTATTAAAAATTGATACTTACAAATTATATATAAATACACTCTTAATTATTAATTAACATTTATTAAAATTATAAAAGTATGAAAAATAAATATTAAATTAGAAATTAAAAATATATTTTATAATTTTCAATAAATATTAATAAAAATTTAAAAATATACTAAATAATATGTTGCTAGTATGTAATTAAAACTTAAAAATTAAAAAGTTTAAAATAAATAAATTATTAGGAAAAATAATTCTATTGTACTTTTTATAAAAAATATTTAAATATATTAAATTTATACTCTATTTTAAATATATCTATATTATTAATTATAAATATATAGATAACTAGTTAAAAAATTTCGTAGTCAAACAGTCCTATTTTGTACTAATATGCATATGTTAAATGTTTTTTTTCCCTCCATTCAACGTGGTATGAAACTATTTTGTACAAATATATATATATATATATATATATATATATATATGAAAATTGTAATATTGATAACTTCTTTGTGCACAACAAGTATATTATTAATTTAAAATATTTTTTAGTATTTTTTTAATAAGTCTTATAAAATTTTGTGATCAATTTAAATTTTAATAAATCTTATAATTTTTTAAAAAGTGGATATTATAATTATTAACAATGAATATTTTATTATATTAAAAAGTAATATAAATTTTTAATATAAAAAATTACTCAACATAATAAAAATAATAATAAAATATTTTCATTAAACAAGCTTATCAAAATTATTATTATTATTATTATTATTATTATATAGACCCGTTTCACCGAGTCACCGGAATTCCTTGGCAACGCAAAGTCACCGGTGTTTGACATTTATGACACGTATAATTATATTGATATTAATATTAAAAAAAATTACATAATCTGTTACACATATTAATATCAATCATTAAAATTTTAACAAATTTATAGATCTTATTATCCTTTAATATTATTCTTCTGAGTTTTCGTGAAAGCATAGTAAAATTTTTTTGTTAAATTTAAATTTTTAAAATTAACAATATATTTTACTTTTGTTTTTAGTATAAATTGTGCCTCAAATTGGATTTATGAATAAATATATAAAAAAATAAGTTGAATATAAAATTGATATAAAATATAACGTGATGCTGTTTAATTTAAATTTTTTATTACAGGTTAATCATTTTATTAATTAAATGATAAATATTTTAATAAAATAACTAGAAATTGTTAAATTTAAGTAAATAAAAAGGCTAGGATATAAAAGTGAAAATTGAATGAAAATTAATTTTTCAATTTAAGATCCATATTTCACTTATTTAGTTTATATGAGTCGTTTTTAACGTTTAATTTAACTTTTTTTAAAGTTTTGCGATAGAGATATCCAACAATTAACCATAAAAGAATCAGATTAATTCAATTTCGTAACATTTATATGATTAAATTAGTTAAACCGTGTTTTTATCTGGATTTCCTTTTTGAAATCCCAGTTTAACTTATTGGAAACGTGGCATTTTCATAGCAATTTGCAATCCTTCGAATAAACAGTTGCAAATTAGGTTTATAATAATCAATAATTTACTGTTATATGTCAGTTTGAGTTTAAAAATTTAATTAAATTTGTTAAACCAAAGATGAATAAAGCGAGTGACTTGGTAAAGAAATAAATATAAATCTTTGTACAAATTTATTTGTACAAAATAGCTGATACGGTTATTTAATCAACGAAGATATACAATATATAAGCCGGAAACAAATTTATATAGAATATACTGAGATAAGGTTTTATTTAAATTTTTTAATACAAGTTGAATTATTTTGTCGAAGTAAATGATAAATATTTTAATAATTTTTAATGTATTTCTAAAAATACATGTTAAAAAGTTGTGAATATAATTTTTTATTAAAAATAAAAAATATATTTTGTTTTAAACTTCATAGTTTTTTATCTTATATTTTTTATTTTAATTATATTTAATATATTAAAATTATTATTATTAATATTAAAATATTATTTGTATTTATTAAATTTATAATTAAATATATAGTATATTTTTAATACACTATATATTTATTTTAATATGATTTTCTTTTCTATAACTATATTTTTCACAAATTAAACAAATTAAACGCAAGTCTTTGTATTCAATTCAATTCTTGAATTAATTTATCACACGTTTTAATAATTTTTTCTGTGTATATTAAAGAGGTATTGAGGTTAAATTTTAACCTTAGTAGATTCTTATATGTTAGAGGAATTTTTCATTGTAGAATTTTAAGTATATTCAAGTAGTAATTTTTTTAAGATTTTGATTTTTATGGTTAAACAAAGGTTTTAATCTCCAAATAAGAGAAATAAAAATGAAGAGTTAACTAAAGGCTCTTATAAAGATATGCTTATAATCTTTTATGTTATCAACAATTTTTTTTTAAATATTATTTAATTTTTATTCAAATAATTAAAAATAATAATCGTTTTATAAAAATTTAATAATTAGATTGACTTCAAAGAATACTACTATGTCTTTTAAGTTTTTGAGGTGATTTTTAACTCAAAACACATTATTTTCAGAATAAATATTAAATTCCTTCATCATTAATTCACTGATTGCTCTTTCCAAATTCTAGGAACGATGAAATTTTAGTAGATTTTTCTCTCTTTCAAAAAGTCAAAGCACTCTTCCCATCAAAATAATCAGTAATATTAATTGTTAGAATGACTATAATGTTAATCAAATTGAATTTAAATTTTAACATAATTAGAGTTGATTTTCATGAATAGCACTGTGTTTCATAATTTTCTAAGGCAATTTTTAACTCAAATCACGCAGAATATTTATTATCATTTATAATACTTTTATTTATTTTTCTCAAAAAGTCGAAGCGCTTTTCCCATTAAAATAATCATTAATACCAATGGCTAAAATAATTATAATGTTAATCAATCTGAATTTTAATTATACATAATTTTTAAAATTTAACACGAGGATAACTTTTTAAAATACAATCTTAATTATTCATATTTTTTTATCTTATTTTTTAATTTTAATTCTATTTAAAATATTAAAATATTTTTATTAATAATAAAAGACTGTTTTTCATTTATTAAATTTATAAATAAATATACAGTGTATTTTGAGTTTAATTTAAATATTTATTTCAATCAATTAATGAGAGTGTAAACAAAGTGAGTAGTTTAGTTATATTTTGGAAACGAGAACTGAGTTAATAACTAAAACGGCGGGCCCGATACAACCGCGGCGAATATATATAATTTAAACGCTGTGTTTGTTGATGCAGAGAGAGTTAAACGCGACGTCCCAGCAAGCCACAAATAAGCAAAGCCCGTCAATCACGCGCAAGAACAAGATTAACTCGTTTCGATCCTATCCCAAGTCCAACCCTAATCTCATCTCTTCCCGCAAAATCGAAATCTTAAAACCAGAAGGATTTTAAATCCCAAACAGTTTCGTCTCAAACGAGATTCCATGCAACTCTGCTTCTCCCTCATCGCCCTCTCCACGGAGGACTCTCTTGCTTTCGCCACGAAAATCGTTCTTTCTTTTCACCACACTTCACAATTCGCCAACCATGTCCTCCGATTCCCATGTCCCTAAGGGCATCCTCTGCAATGCTGGCGCTGGTGCTGCCGCTGGTATATGTTCATTCCTTCTCCGATATAACCTAATCAGATACTTTTATCATACAAACTCCTTTTTTCTTTTTTGGATCCATCATGACATTTATTTTCTTTTTTCAAAAATTGTGTAGGAGTTATTGCTGCTACGTTTGTGTGTCCTTTAGATGTAATCAAAACTAGGTTTCAGGTCAATTCCGTGCCTCAGGTCGCAAATGGAAGTGTTAAAGGTAGGCGTTGACTTGTGGTTCTTTTATTTATATAATTAAAGATTTTTACTATGTCGAAAACAAGGCAAGACAATGAAAACGTGCTTTGTCAGTGACTCATAATACAATATCCTTTCTGTTAATCGTTTTACTTTTAGAGTGAGTTACCGTTCATGGATTTTTTTTTCTTTAATATAAAGCGATGGACACATACATTGTATAGTTAAAAACTTCTCAGTAGGATAACTACAGCTGAATAGAGCAACCTTCCTTCCTTCTCTCTTTCTGTTTTATGTAACCAATTGGATGTTTTCTGTCATTAGGCAGTCTTATAATTGGTAGCTTGGAGCAAATATTTCACAAGGAGGGATGGCGTGGCATGTACCGTGGGCTAGGCCCAACTGTGCTTGCCTTGCTTCCGAACTGGGCGGTGAGTTTACTGCTTCCTGATGGCTGGCTTTTTCCATTGTTTTTTCCTGATGAACTATTCTTTTTACCCTGTTGACCAGTTTATTAATATCTTGTCCAATTGACATAACTTTCCTATTTTAAGCTTTAAATTGGCAACAGAGTATATCTCCAAAAAATGGAAAAGAAAACTTGGTAAATCATTGGTAGGGTTAGGTTAGGTGGAAAATAAAGTGAGGTTAAGACTTGTTGCTAGAGTTGCTGCTTTACAAAACAATGTACCTTATGCTGGTGTGGATGTGGCAATCTTATGCTGGGGTGGGTCTTTATCCAAGAATCGACTGGGGCTGTGGAGGAATGGTTTGTTTTCAATTTCATACATGTGCTGTCTAGAAAACAACAGAAAAGAGACAAAAGTTGATAAGATCTAGAGATTAACCCAGATATATAGACTAAGGGAGTATATGATTGGTATGATTTCATCCCACTATCAAGAAAGGGGAAATCTTGCTGCAATAATTTGTATAGCTGGTCATTCTTTATTCTTTCGTAGTTGAACATCACCTGAATAGGACTAGTCAAAACCCATGACCAAATACTAGTAACTAGTAAGGCCCAAGCTGATAAATCTTCCTCTGATAAGCTTAATGAATTGACCTATTTGAATAAATAACAAATAGCTCATGAACTATGTTGCATGGATACAGTAATGGCACACGACAATTTTTAAAAATTGGGAGGCAAGTTTATTCATGTGTGTGTTTTTTTTTTAAACACAATAACAGCATTCATTGTTTATGGACAAATAACTTATATTCTTAATTGTTTTGTTTGTAATTTTTCTTGGTGTCCCTTTGCCTCTAGTGATTAGGCTATCTTTCATCTGAACTACTTGAGTTATTGCAGCTTTTATAGGCTTTCTTTACACTGTACCCAAACCTTTTAAGAAAAATTCTACCATCTTTTCCATTCATTCCTAATCTTATCTTGCCAAATGCGTCTGCTCATCCAATGTAACATTCTCATATCTACCACATTGAGTTTATTCTGTTTTTAGCTTTTTACTGCCCAACATTCAATTTCACGTAACATGGTAGGTCTTATATGTGTGCTGTGAAATTTTCCTTTAATCTTGAGTGGTACTATTTTTTATCCCATATAACACTGGAGACATTCCATTTCATCCATCATGCTTGAAAGCCAACAAATAAATATTTATAAGGATTTAGAAAACACATAAATCACTGTTTATATATGTACCTTTCTATAATATTCTAAAATGTTTCAATTTGTTAACTTGCAGGTCTATTTTACAATGTATGAACAGCTCAAGAGCCTACTTTGTTCTGAAGGTTAGTTTATTAGATATTTCTATTTTGTTTTTAAGCTTGTCAACTTGTTGTATGTTTGTACATTCATTTTTGTTGATGTACAAATTATAATAGCTATCGTATGAATGCAGATGAAAGCCATCATCTTTCCATTGGAGCTAATGTGGCAGCTGCTTCAGGTGCAGGAGCTGCAACTACCATTGCTACATATCCACTTTGGGTTGTCAAGACTAGACTCCAAGTGTGTTTCTTTTCAACTCACGCTAAATCTTATATTATCATTGATTTGCTTATGCTATCAACTTATCATATATAATTGGCATGATTCATGAGTGCATTAAATGCTTAGAATATATGCAATCAGTGGTTTGTCAAGGTGAAAAACCCTTTCCTTCAAGTTTATCATTGGTGTCTTAGTAGTAGATCTTTAGCATTTCATTTTCTTTTTGACATACCTTTGCTAGAACTGTGCCATCATCAGATGAGAAGGCAATGAAGGAATCATAAATTTGATGTAACGTGTTGGCTTTCAGTGTGACAGCCAAACAATATGACAAATTATATCCATATTGGATTGGAAAAAGAACAAACTCAAACATAGTTTAAATGTTTTTTGGCCTTGGGTGGATCATGTTGTCCCTTTAATAGCAGGGATGTGTGGACACTGACAAAATTGTTATTTAGTATATTTGTGATTTCATTAGTGTAACTGTAATGTATGTACGATAAAAGTACATGACTCTCTTTAACCTGCTTATGAATTCATCGGTGCATCGGTATATTCTGCACAATAAGTTTGCTTCATTTGTTACTGCAGACCCAGGTAAGCAGACCTGGTGTTGTGCCATATAGGAGCACGCTATCAGCTTTAAAGAGAATTGCTCATGAGGAGGGCTTTCGGGGGTTGTACAGGTTGGTATTGCTTACATCATTCATGGAACTTAAGTCAATGTATAATACTTCATAATAATAATTTTATTGACATATGATATATTCTTTACCATAAACAGTGGCCTTGTACCTGCTCTGGTTGGTATCAGTCATGTTGCCATCCAGTTTCCAATATATGAGAAAATAAAGTTGTATTTGGCAAATAAAGGTAATTCAATGCTGTTCTAATTCTTTGCAGCCACTTGAAAGTATTGGCATTTGGTTAATATAATCATTATTTTGTTTTGTGCCAGATAACACAGCAATGGATAAGCTCAGTGCACGTGATGTTGCAATTGCCTCATCAGTCTCCAAAATTTTTGCATCTACATTGACATATCCTCATGAGGTTTGTTGCTGAATGACTAAGGCAGATTTGTTAAAGATACGCATAATCATAGATACTCGTACTTATAGTTGCCCAGCCTTGTGAATGAAATGATGTTGCGATTCATAAAAATCAATTTCAATGCTTAAAGCATTTTATAAAAGGGAAAACTGTTTTCAGCTCCATTAAACTGTTTCCAAAGATATTTTGAAGTTGTGTCAATTATTCCCTAATATTTAAATATTACCTAAATAGGTTCTTCTGTTCAGCTTTTGTTTGGTCGCTGACAGATCTCTTTGGCTATATCCAATCCATCCAGATGTGTTAATCTAGACGGTTGAATAATTTGTGAATTAGAGTTTAATCTTAATGAATTTTTAAATCTTCCAAATTTAAAATCTGTGTGGTAGATTCATATATCTTTGATCAAACTAAATAGCTTGCTTGAAGGCTACTTGGGGTGAATGGATACATGCTTTACTTTCTCACTCTATGTCCTGGCTGCTTTTGTCCTGTATTCCCTCCACCTTAAACACAGGTCTTTCTTGCGCTGCAAAAATTGATGTAGGAAGAAGCTCATATGTTCAATTCACTTTGAATGTATCCCAATCAATGTTATAAAACTTGGAAAAGTCATTGACTTGGTCAAAGTAGGAGTCACTGGAACACCGGTGAGTCTGGTTGAGTCTGATGTGTTGCTTAGACGATTAGTTGACCGGTTCATCAATCCAACCAGCCAATCTGAGTTGAGTTTTTGAACACTGATTCCCATAAAAGCATGATGAGCTGGATATAACCAACTAATCATCTATTAAAATTGAATTTGGTTGTAACATCCTAAGGTGCATGTAACAGAACAAGACAATGAGGAAGAGAGTTGTATGCAAAAATTATGTTGGAAGGTTTATAGATAGAAAGATTATGGAGATATGGGGATTTAAAGGGGGACAATGAAGAAAGTAGTTGATCGGAAAAGAAGGGAAGAGCAGAAAATGTGGCAAGACCAGTAATGCTCTTCATTCTCTGCAGAAGAGGATCATGTGTCCTCGCATGACCTATTTTATTTTGGGTTTCTAAACCTTCATTAAAATTAAAATTTATTGAATATACTAGTCAAAGATCCAGATTTAAAACACCTGGATGGATAAGATTTTGCTGCATATATTTACCATTAGTGACTTAATGAAAGTTAAACAGCAGGGTATGTTGGAGTAAAGGCTTAGAGATAATTGAGATAACTTTCAAGTTTATGATGATATTTTATAAATGGTCCAAAAATTGACAAAACAAAGTTTTACCCTTCAAAATAATATTCGTTTGACTGCACATTGTTAGCTGTCTCTTGCAATATTTTACTTCAACATTTTGAACTTAACTGGCATTATAGATTTATTGAATTTCATTTTCTTCATTGTGAACATAGAAAACCGTATATTCCTATTATTTGAATGTTTTTTGTATTTTCTATGCAGGTTATTCGTTCGAGACTGCAAGTACAGGGGCACCATTCAGTGAAGCAATACTCTGGTATGACCGACTGCATTAGAAAGGTATTTCAACAAGAAGGACTTCATGGTTTTTACCGTGGGTGTGCCACCAACCTACTTAGGACAACCCCAGCTGCCGTAATCACATTCACCAGCTTTGAAATGATACACCGTTTTCTTGTTTCTCTTTTTCCTGCTGACCCACAGTTACAAATTTTATGAAGATGGAGCATGGTGATTAAGCTAGTTTAGCCTACTAACCTTTCTTTTAGTGATTAAGATCCCATTCTTTGTGATTCTTAATTGTTTATATAGGTAGATTTCCACATCATTGAACAAAAATTGAGCCGTTTTTGCCCCAACAAACTTTTGCAAATTGATTGGCTATATTTTATTAATGCCTAACTCTTTTTTTAAATCGACTAAATTTGCTTACACTGAATGTGCTTTGTATCGTGTGCATTAGTTAATTTCAACTATACATTTTGCTTCGTACCTCGAGCTCTGTTGGTTGAACTGTAATCCAAACAGGCTCTTGGAGGTTGGACTGAGGCCTTATCAAGTGGTAACGACAACAAAGATGTTAGCGGTACAACGTTTTGATGCATATTTTAGTGTTTGCCTAGATAAACGCAGGAAAGTACTCTTTGTAGCATCTAAATAAACAAGGATTCACCGATAAAAGAGGTGAATCCAAACATATTATTATGTAACTGCTGAGTAATCAGATAATTTTAAACACTCCCTGATGCTTCACATTTCATGCATTAAGGATCCCAGAATTTAGATTCATAGGTCACTTACATCATCAATCACCAACTCAAGTGTTCATTCTAGAGTTAAAACTTGTACAGCAGATAGGGAGCATGTCAAAGAAGAGGTACAATCAATTGCATATTTATTTGTCTGTCAGAATTTTTTTTTGGATGATATTGCTGCCGTCCTTCAAGCATTAGAATTCGTTATTCACTTGCTACCAGGTTACTGTTCTCAACAAGAACAAAAATTAATTTGGAGTAACAATTTGCATACAATTATGCACACCAGTAAATTGGTATAATTTTTACCATTTAATTTATGTACAACCAAGAACTTTATATTCCGTCAGAGTTTTGACTTTCCAGGATTTTGAGTTCAATGGGCTAGTAATTTTCTCTAGTTTTACATATGACTACTTTCTACTACTACTAGTAAATTGAACAACGACTTTGATGTCTCTAGTTGCACAGGGGGAGATATGCTATACCTCAGCACCATTGTTGCTCAAGTGCTCGGTAGTGGGATGTTATGTGTGCCTTTGGGGAGGTACTGAATGTGACCCCATATCATCTTGCCCAAGAAAGGCGTAGCGATGCGGGGCAGTCCCAACTTTGAGGACTAGTAGGCCATGCTCAAACTTAGGTTGAACGCAACTACCCTAAAAGAAAACATGTAGTGTGCCACATGCTTTTTAGAGAGTACGCGAGAGATCGTTTTGGAACCGAGGTTGAAGGAAACGGAAGAGAGAAGAGTAAACACATGCTTTGGTCATTGACAAAAATCACCTAATCGAATTTGATCTTCAAAGAAAAAAGAAAGTTACTTAAGAGTCCGTCAAGTTGTAACCGTGAGATACTTTAATTCTTCAATCATTTGTATCTTTTTTAGTACTTAATTAGTCCTTGAAAAAGTAATTGTTAATCAATTTAATTCCTAAAAATATCACTAATGACCTAAATTAGTTCTTTAAAGTATTGACTGAAATGGATGACAGACAGGATTAAAAAGTCTTATAATCTTGAGAGATTATTTATTCAGTAACTTTTTATTCTTCTGAAACTATATTAAATGAAATAATTATTTTTTGGACCGAATTGCATATTATTCAAAATAAAATACAATCTCAATGTAAAAAAAATGATGGAAATGGCAGTGTAAATGATTGCGTTTCCTTTCCTTTCCGATGTTTAAAAGTTAAAACAAAAATTAATAAAAGAACGGAACGAAGGTCCGTAGCGACTCAAATTGGAGGATCGAGGCTTTTTGGAGGAGTTGTTTTCCTCATCTAAAATTCAATCTAAACATGGAATTAGAGGCCATAATTCTTGCAGGATAGTCCAGAGTGTCTCAATTTATCTGGACTAAAGCTCTAGGCGAGTTGAGTGGTCATAATCAGAGGCACTTTGAATGTCTAATAGCTAGGAGGATGTTCAAGAGAACCCATCTCAATCAGCTTTCTTTCCTAGCATGCTGTCTTTCAGACAAGGATGGGTTCTGCTTCCCCGTTTGAACAATTGGCTCAATTACACTATGTTTAAAGCATAATAATATTGATTTTACTTATTTTTGTCCAAAGACATATAATAAAAACTTATATCATCAACTTTTATTAAAAATAATACGATATCACTAAATGTAATGTATTAATAACATTAAATCCTCCAGAAAAAAAAACATTAAATCCCACAACTCCCAATAAAAGCTTACTATTTATTTATTGACATGTGATTTTAAGTATACGTTAGAAATAATATTTAGTTACAAGTGATGCATTTTAATGCTTTTTTACAAATTGCTTTCGAATTTAACGCTGGACCTAAAATTCATGTCCTCTTTCCACGAGAATGCCAGTTAATTCATGCAAATTAAGGAAATGATGGTCCATAATTGGACAACTCATTACTAAATATGAAGTGGGGTTACTGACTAACTATGAAGACTAAAGACTAAGGATTAGCATCCACTCCTTGGCATCCAAAGTTGAGACATCCCTGGACAAGACACATAGGATTGGATTCGTTTGTCATGTTCTATCACATCCAAACCAAACAAAAGATAAATTACCGTGGCTTTACTTTCAGCTTTCTTGAATGAGTATCAAAACGATTTATATTTATAATTTTTGTTTTGATAAGGGGAAAGGATGGGGATAGAATAAAGTTAGAGATTATGGTAGTTGACATTGGGGACTCATGTTTGGTGAGTGGCGCTGTTGCTGTTGTGATATAAGAAACACGGTGTCAGCACAAGTACATACTTGGGAGGATAACAAATACAAAACATGGCTGGGCCTAGAAATGGAGTGGGAGAAGAAAATGATTGTTTTCCATCCCATTTAGGGTGTAAAATGGGTGAAGAAAATAAAGATATAGAAAAAAAAAAAAGTGAGAGAATGTAAAAATTGTAAAGAATGATATGATAGAACAAAATATATAAAAAAAGTGAATATAGAAATATAATAATTGAGAGGAATACGAGGAGCAAGAGGAGTGCACTATTCTTTCAATTTCACCAACACTTTTTTCACCTTCATCATAATTTGGTCGGTCCAAAATGCCTAAACCTATCAAAACAACTGGGAGTGCTATGCTTTCATGATTCCTTTTGGAATGCTGGCTACCCCACCTCTTTAGAAAATGTGGTGCTTGTGGGGGAGGAAGAGTGACAAAGAGCAACTTTTTCTTTTCTTTTTCTTGCAGGACCATTTTCCATTTGAGAAGTAGACCACTAGTATTCCATTAAGTAACTAAGCAATAAACCTTTTTTTCTCTTTGAAACAAAGTATTTAAATCCACCTACTGCCACATTTTGGTAATGTAACAAACTCTGTTTTTTCCTTAAGAGTAAAGGCTAGACTTCTCTTTTGTCAATAAAATATTTACATGCCCATATATTCAAGTTTTGCACAGTTTATTTTCTGGTGTAACCTTCCGGAGGAAGGCCAATGGAAATATAATAACCATATTATAGTATTAATGAGTATGATGAATGCTTTAACTATGACAACAAATATGAGCTCTCAGCCTAAAGTTAACCCCTAGAAAGTCACTGCTATGATGAATAGAGTAGGTGACAATCTTCTTATATTTTGGGGTCATGTTATGGATCATGGCCAAAAGGTATACCTACATTTCATAAAGACTAAAGAGGAATACTAACCAGATTGTAATAATTCTCGCACTTTTGTCCTCTTATGAGTTTTAACAAAGTCAAACAAGTGGTCATAGACATAGTAATTAACAGAGCAGTAAATGGGTTTATACTCTCAAGATATCAATTAGTAAGACTCAATTGAAAATTAGAAGTTTATCTATTAAGGAGGAGATTTTTTTTCTCTTTTTGAGAAGGTGGGGTGGGTATACAAGTGCAAGGATTGAGCATATTGATTTTTGGTCATCAAGATTGAGCATTGCTTTCCACAAAATGAAATTGCATGTGCTTCCAATCCTTTGCTTGATGTGGCTTGACATCTTGAGAGTTGAAAGCATGAATCTGCACATTTCTGCAACAGAAAGTGATGTGAACCTCACAAAGGGGAGTTCATGAATATAAATCATATATTATGGGTAGCATCCGGGCTCACTTAACATGTGAATGTCATAAAGAAAAAGCAATAACGCGTGACTTTAACCTTTCAATAAAAAACCGTAGGTATGAAGCTTTCTTAGATAAATCAAATCAGCATTTAAATTATAATCCAAACATTCCATCTTTGTATCTAAAATCCAACACCTTTGTAGCTGTACCTTTCAGAATGATTAGCAACATTTCAAGTCTCATCGTATTATATTCCCTATTTCGACTTCAAATATCATAGCTTTGACCTACTGGTCAATATTAGAATAAAAAAACACTATAATCAGGATCCTAACTATATAGGTTAAGAAATGACTAAATAGGATTTTTTTTGGGGGTAAAAATCACGTTCAAAATATATTTAAAATATTTTCAATAAATTTTCAAATTTCTTAACAAATATTCTTATAGTTAATATTTGTCTTTATAATTAAATTAACTATTTTTTAAAAAGATGAATTTGGCTCGTTTAAAATCAAGAGAAGAAGAAATTAAGAAAATAAGAGTTTACTTATTATTGATTTAAAATTAACATAAAATTATTTTAATTCAATTTATAGTAAATAAAGTTTTATCTTCTTATTTTACATATTTTTTTCACTTTAATCAAGCTAAATTCTTTAAAAACAATCTACTAACACCTTCTAATAAGCAATTCTAATAAATGTCATTGTTGTGAAATGCATGTAAATCACATTACAAAATAAATAAACAAATAATTCTATTACATTTAATAATAAAAATTGCGTCAAAAGTGTATTGTTATGATTATCATATAGTTAACGTCAAATTAAAAATTCTTTTACGGGTCTGTTTAATTTTAAAAATATTTTATATTTTTATAAATAATTAAAAAATACTGTCTTGTTTTTTTATAAAATATAATTTACAATAATAAATAACTCAATGAAAACTTGTTTGTTGCATAATCATCTTATAGTTATACTCCTTTTAGTTTTTTCTTTAAGAAATAAGAATTGATATTTTTTCTATACATAAGAAATACAATTTTTTATATTAAATTATTTTATATCTTTATTTATAATAGCTGATATAATTATTTATTTATTTGATATATTATACACTAATTTAACTAATTAATATTATGAATATTTTTAAAATATAGCATAAATTTATAATATCTAATTAATTTTTATTGATTTTAATAAAATAAATATTTATTTTTATAAATAATAAAAAATAATGCCATGCAACGAGGTTATTAACATCTAACTTAATAGTGATTATAATAAGATTAAAATGTGAGATGGGAACGTTTTGAATCCACAATTGGAACTCTGTGAGGAGTGAGGAGTGAGGAGTGAGGAGTGAGGAGTACGCGCTTGAGGTGAAAGTGGTTGTAGGAAGGAGTGGATTGAGGGGGGAAAGTACTGAGTAGCACGTTGCCAGTTGCCGGCGGTTATGATGATGGAAGAGAAAAGCGCCACGTAGAAACGATCATCCGACTCCGTCGGAGTGACCTGTTTGTGGGGCTCACTACTTATAAAAATGCATTCTCATTGCTCGTCAAGTGGGTCCCACTTTATATGCTCTTACTCTACGTGGCCACTACCCCCGAACCTCGTTGCTCTGGTTCCGAGCCACCATTTTGAAATTTTTGAACGTTATAGTCGTGCTATTCAGGAATTTACAACTATACCCTCTCACAATTGGTTCTCTGACTGTTATTCGCGGTGAAGACAATTCTATCTTTTTTTTTTCTTTTCTTTTTTGCATATTAATTTACTATTTTCAGAATATTTTAATAAATTATATATGCAGAAGTACTTTATTAAATTTAGAATAATTTATTATTAATGTATTTTTATAAATGCAAGCAAAATTATTATTATTTTAAATACCTATTATTAATATCATTCAAATTGAATAAAATTATTTATCTTTACATTATAAATGAGAATACTATGAGAAATAAAAAATTCAATTGAACTACTCTATTTTATAGCTTGTCAAGTATACTTTTTTTTTTCTTTTTTATTAATTTTATTTTAAATTTTAAAGATAAAAATTGTTAGTTAACTTTATTTTAGTACTTAATATAAGTTTTTAATTTTTTTACAAACATATTTATTTATAAAAAATTCATAATATTTAATATTTTAAATAATGTTATTATTTATATATATATATATATATATATATATATATATATATATATGCATCTCAGAAGAAGAGGTTAAAATGATTTTAAGTAGTTAATGATTTTATATTATTGTAAGTGTCAAATTTTATTTATTACATGACAATAAATGGTTATCTAAATATAAAAATTATGTATCATTTGTGGATTAAAATTAGATTGATGTTACAATTTTCTTAGAAATATTTATTTTGCTACAAATATTTAAATTTCATTTTTTGAGTTTAATTAAAATATTTCAACTACCTATATATAACTTTAGGTTAAATTATTCTATAAATTCATATATAGTTACTAAATTTTGGTTATGTCTTTGTATTTTAATTTTTTTAGCTAATTTATTTTATTTTTCATATTTTATAAATAAATTCACACAGACTATAATTATTTAAGGCTATGAAGTATTTCCAATGTAACATTTTACATATGACAGTAGCATGTAATTCGACAATTAACTAATTATAACTAAATATTGAGTTAATCATTCTAAATATAAATCTCCATAACTATAATGTGTCTGGTTTGACGTTCATGCTTTGAAGTGGTGTGTATTTTCAATATGACACAACGTTAACGTAGCATTGAGATCATTCATGAATATTTATTAAATTTTGATACACATATTCTTATTGAAAATTTTATAAAAATACATTAAATTATATTTTAATGTGAAAGTTATAATTTATAACATCAAAATTTGACATAAATTTAAACATTTTATTATACCTCTTCACTTATTTCATTATTTTTCATCAACATCCGTTACATTTTTCTCTTTAGATGTTACAATTCGTTGCATTTTTTTCATCGCTCTTCTCTCCCTGTAACGTTGGTGATGATGACATGAAGATACAAACTCATAACATGCACTGAACTGTCAAAACAATGGCCAAAAATGATAGCCGAAAGACCTTCGTGATGTAATTGTAGCGAAACATTGTCCTTCTCAACAAGTATTGGCCTAAAAAGATTATTAGGTTTTCTCAACAAAAAAAGACATTTTTATTCCTTTCCCTTTTATGATCGTATGACTCATGCAAACATACTAAATGAAGAAATATCAAATTAATTGGGAAATGAATAATTTTAAGAAGAAAAAGGGATGGTTTTATAATTTAGTTCAACGAAAACGAAACCCAACAAATTAACTTACTAGGATTCAGAGAAAAGAAAAAGACAAAGATAAAAGATGAAAAGGAATATTGATGGAGTAAATTTGAGAAATAGGATCAAATTTAGAAGTATAGTGAAATTGAAAAATAACAATAAATTGTTAAAAAAAACGTATAATAGTAATTAATTGCAACATTATTAGATATAAATGCTTGTGTGAAATGTTGCATGACCGCATTATGCCATGAACGATACTTAAAGGAATTTAGCTTTCTGAAACTTAATTACAACATTGTTTAAAATTATAAGAAGCTTGGTGAAAAACTTTTGAACTGTATAAATTTAATTAAAATAATAATAAAATTATAGTGAATCAATAGAATTGTTTAATCTATTTCTTTCAATTAAAAATGATTAATATGTAATTAATAGACTTTTATAATGCGCCATTCATTGGTCTTTACAAAAATCAAGAGAAGATTCTTGTAATTCCATTATCTCTAGACTCTTGATTAGGATAAGTTCTTCTTCAATGCTCAGCAAGGCCTACTTGGATAAGAAGGCCACAGTTATTCAGATGTTGCATTATACTGAAATATTAATAATATTATATTGGTCTTTACTTTTTCATTGTTAAAATTTGAGGCTTACACAATTACCTGTGGAGTTGCAAAGGCAACTGTTTTCCAACAACTACTTCACTAACCGACAGAGACATTTTGTCTACCAAAATGATGTGGTGGCATGCCCCATTCAAGCTACTACCATACTCAGATGAATCATTATGTATTTATTGTAAAAAGATTGTGTGAAATTGTGAATGTTTGCTTTCAACCTTTTTAACTAGTTCAAGCCAACATTGTGTGGCAATTTCAACTAAGTCTATCCATAATCCACTTTCGTGACTTGGAAACTTAACCACCTTCCATCCATGTTGAAACTCCTTCTATACTCTCATCTGCATTCTGGCTTAGTCACTTACTGAGACAAAAGCCAGAATGTGCTTAACATCGGACAGTGACATGACACTCACTCAACTCATTGTCACAAAACTCTAATTAATCAACGTAGGTTGGCTTAGTTAACTATTCTTCAGATTAATTAGCCTAAACAATGATGGCCCATTTTGTCACTCGAGTCTCAATCATAAAGCCAATTAATTAGGAGCATCTTAGTGATACAAGTTCATCTTAATCTTATTTTAGAATTATAAAATCATGATTAATTTGAAATTCCAGCGGTAGGAGAGGGACCTACTAAATTCTTGCATTTTGAAATCAAAGAGCAAAATAATACTTCTGAACAAAGTTGATTGACCAAACGTGACCTTTTGTGGATGAGCATTAACGAAATAGACAAACCCAACCACCTCCAACTTCTCAAAGAGAATTTTCCAAGTGTTTGAATATTTTTTTGAACCACAAAGGAGGGGATTTTATTCTAAGTTAAGTTAGACATGACATAGTACTTCACTTTTCTTTCCTCGATTATCTTTTTTTTTTCTTGGGCAGGAGATTATAAAGAATAAGGAGGTTCGTCTCAATGGTCGTGGCATCAAGTGACTGTCATCATAGAACGATTTTTAACCTATACACTTAATTCTTTTTAAGGAAACAAAATATAGAAAAAAAAAGGTTATGGCAACAACAAATATAATTAAGCACAGGATCATGCACTTGTACATATCATATCCTAAGTGCATGGTTAATGTGCAATATTCATATATTTGATTTTTAAACAAGTCCTTAAGCTCGGAAAAAAGGGAGATAATAATGGGAAATCTTCATGTGCACAAGTTGGTCTTACATAAAGTAGGTGGGTGGATGTCGACATGTTCTTGAGTCTCAAACTCTCAATGGAGCAGTAAAAGGGGGCACCCGGCAAGCACCTAAAACAGGCCCATTCATGGTTAGCCGCTTAACAAATAACAATCACCAATATATAAATTCGTTCCTTCCATATATGACATGCTATGAATAGTAATTTCATGATTTTTTCTGAAAAGTAATTAAAGTTACTATAATTGATCAAACAAATTCGTGGTATTTCATAACAATCAATTTGGTATCAAATGGTTTTTCAGTTTCCTTCTCAGAAATTCATTGACTGGTCTTGTTAATTGTTTTTCTTCATAGCACTAGCACAAGTAATAAATTAGACAATTAAAAATAGAATTTTAAAATAAAAAATATTAGTAACATATTGTTAAAATAAATTATTTCCAACAGAAGAAACTTGTAGTTAAAAAAAAGTCGCGTATTTTTTTTAAAATACTCAATAATAAAGGTGCAAAAATGATTTTTTTAAATTAGCTACAAAAAAAAGAAGCGACAATCATTAATTGTAGACTAAAAGCAAGGTTCATTTAGGGGTGAAGATAGCTTAGTTGAAAGGATTTGCCAAAAAATCCAACCAAAATTTCCTTTCAGGTTGAAAGATATCCAGCATAAAATAGCTTTAGAAAAATCATTTGTCCTAGGGTATTTTCCACTTTGCAAGGGTGAAGTGCACGCGCCTTGAGAGGAAGTGAAAGGAGACACAGTTAGGAAACAAAACAAAACATTAAATTGTAATTATTAAAGTTTAAAAACTTAGGAAGGGAGAGGTTTGGAAGATAGAGAGGTTCGGAGACGAGGCATGGGATTGGGAAGGAGAGAAGCAACACACTTGTGGAGAGTATAAAGTGAAAACAGAAAGAGAGAGAGAGAGGTATTTGTGCTGTGTGAGTACACTTTGTATATCTGTACAGAGAAAGAGAAAAAGCAAAAGGTGACGGAGAATCTCTGTGTTTGTTGTTTGAATTGGTAACGAAGATAGAAACCTCAGCAACACTCAAAACCACCATCAAGTGTTAAAATCAGAGAGAAAAGACTCAATTTTTGTTATATATCATAATTTCTTCCCTGTTGATACTCATCAAATTATTTTTTTCTTTTTACCCTCTGAAATCCAGCTCTGTGGTGAGGACAATTTTGATGAGTTGAATTGTTGAGCTTCGTCTCTCGTGGGGGATTGAGATATCAGCTTGAGGCTCGGTTGGTGTGTGGTGTTGTTTGTTATGGCGGCATTGTCATTTTCAGTGGCATCTGTGGTGGAAGATGTGCTTCAACAGCACGGTACTCGCCTTAAAGATCTTGATTTGGAATCCAGAAAAGCAGAAGAAGCGGGTAATTTCTCATTATTTATTCTGTGTTCTTATGAAAGTTTAGTTTTTGAATTGCGGGTTGTATGCATTTTCATTGTGACAGGCTTCTGTTGTAATTTCCCCTGCTTCTATAATATAAACTTCTGAACTTCCCCTTTCTTTTGATTGCTGAAAATGTTGGGAAAAGCTTTAGCAAGGTAACTGCTCCGGGTATAACTGTCATGTTTTCAGGGAACGTGTCTAATTTTCATCCTTTTTTCTCTGATAGTAATGGCTTGATGCATGACAGTTTCTTGTGAAAAAGCCGTTTGGATTTTATATCACTTATTCTGATACTGAAACTCTTTAAAATGCAGCATTCAGAAGGTATGAAGCAGCAGGGTGGCTGAGAAAAATGGTTGGAGTTGTTGCAGCCAAAGATTTACCAGCAGAGCCCTCTGAGGAAGAGTTTAGGCTTGGTTTGAGAAGTGGGATCATTCTCTGTAATGTCCTTAACAAGGTTCAACCTGGCGCTGTACCCAAGGTGAGCTAGGACTTAATCTGATATTCTATGGTTTTTATATTGTTTATTTGTTAATGTAAACTCTGTATTGTTCTTTAAGGTTGTGGAGAGTCCTGTTGATTCTGCACTCATCCCTGATGGAGCACCATTATCCGCATTTCAGTATTTTGAAAATGTGAGGAACTTTCTGGTGGCTATCCAGGAAATTGGAATTCCTACCTTTGAGGCATCTGATCTGGAACAAGTATGTCAAGGACCAGATACTTATTACTGTTTTAAATTTTGAGTAACAAATGTATCATGGTGAATTGAATTATTAATGACACAACACAAAACAGCAGATAATCCCGTGCCACATAGCAACATTGCATACTATGGATGTTTAATAATGTTTTGTGTTGATTTTCTGCTAAACCTTGGTCTGTGTTTTAGGGGGGGAAATCAGCCAGGATTGTGAACAGCGTCTTAGCCCTTAAATCCTATAGTGAATGGAAACAGACTGGGGCTGATGGTGTGTGGAAATTTGGTGGAACTATCAAACCTCCAATCTCTGCAAAAACTTTCGTGAGAAAAAACTCTGAGCCATTTACTAATTCCTTGTCAAGGAGCTCGTCCATCAATGATAAATCTACGATTGCCTTTACCTCTGATGTTGAGTCTAATAAAATGGTTGGTAAGCTTTATTTTTGGTATGTACCTGTGCTCTGGATTTGTCTAGTTGATCAGAAATGATAACTAAATGTTCTTTTTTGTTTGTATGCTAGCAGTCTGGGTCTCAATCTCTGAGTATGCTTGTTCGTGCAATACTATTGGATAAGAAGCCAGAAGAAGTTCCAATGGTACGAGGATAAATGTTGTTCTGTGTTTCTCAAAAGCATTTTATTCATTTAGGCAAGTGGAGTTTAAGTCTGTTAGGTTGTAAGTGTTGAGCATCTACTACATTATAATGCATTAAAAAAAAGTATGGGGATATCTAAATTCATCATTAAGGGCTCCTCCCCTTTTGGTTTGTATGGTCAATGCTGTTTCTTGAAACATTACAAAAAGTAATGCATCCATTCCTAAATGTAGAACTGACAATCCCATGTAGCACTACTGCACTAGTCTCTAGTTTCTGCATTTCAATCTTGTCACTTGTCAATCAATACTTGAGGGCCTTTGAGATTGCTTGATTTAAGTTATATTGCTCTTCTGCATGGAACAGTTGGTTGAATCTGTCCTAAATAAGGTCGTAGAGGAGTTCGAGAATCGCATTGCAGGTGAACAGGTACAGCACTTTTCACCTTTAGTAATGTAATGTCTTTAGTTTTAGTTCAGGTGATGTCTGGTGGGGTGAACATGTTCATGCTGAAGTTATTTTAATGGCAAGCTATGGTCTAGGTTTGTTATTTATCGTGTAACTTGCAGACAAAAATTTCAAGAGGTGCTGCATCACAAAGCAATGGATCTGTATCGAAGTTTGTTATGGCAGATAAAAAGGTAATATATAGTTCTGACCTCACGTTTAATATATTTTAGGTCTACTTCATGAAACTTGAAAATGCTTGAATTCTTATACTCATCTAGTTTTCAATGGACTAGATGGATAACAAGATTCCTATGGTGACAAAGAAAGAGGAATTCCTCCATAAAAACCGTGTTGATGATGAGGAATCAAAAAAACAACTTCTGAAGCAGCAAATGCTCTTTGATCAACAGCAAAGAGACATTCAAGTAAGGAGCAACTGAGATAATATTAATCTTTTTAACTTTTCAATTGTTTGGTAACATATTACCATCCTTATGTTTATATAGGAACTAAAGCATACAATTCACATTACCAAAGCTGGTATGCGGTTCCTTCAAATGAAATTTCACGAGGAGTTCTCCAATCTAGGTAATATTTCTCTAACAATTTTTAAGTTTTTTGCTATATTGCTTCATTTCATTCCTTTCTCTAATTTTATTTTTCATTTCTCTTTATAGGATTGCACGTTCATAGCTTAGCTCATGCTGCTTCTGGATATCATAGAGTTCTTGAAGAAAATCGCAAATTATACAATCAAGTCCAGGATCTTAAGGGTAATTTACTGATTGGCTGGCTGCTATTATAAGCTTATATGAGTTATTATCTCATTCATGCCTTTGTAAGAATTTTATCTCAATAAAATTACGGTGGGTAATTTTGTTTGATCAGGAAGTATTAGGGTGTACTGTCGAGTAAGACCCTTCTTATCTGGACAACCAAATTATTTGAGCACAGTGGACAACATAGAAGATGGAACTATCACAATTAATATTCCTTCGAAGAATGGCAAAGGGCGTAGACCCTTCAACTTCAACAAAGTTTTTGGACCATCTGCAACCCAGGGTTGGTTTGGTTTTAATTTTCATTATCTTCAGGATTACTATATTTTAGTATATATTGAAATTTTTTCTTGTCTTGTTTTCAGCGGAGGTATTCTCTGATATGCAGCCCCTCATTAGGTCTGTCCTTGATGGTTACAATGTTTGCATATTTGCTTATGGCCAAACAGGATCAGGAAAAACTTACACTATGGTAAGATACACTTAAAAAGTTATCATCTAAAAAAACTTAAAATTTTAATGACATTTTTCTTATTTATAATTTTTACATGTAGACTGGACCGAAAGAGATCACAGAAAAAAGTCAAGGAGTGAATTACAGGGCTCTAAGTGATTTGTTTATCACGGCTGATCAAAGAAAGGACACTTTTCGCCATGATGTGTATGTTCAAATGATTGAGATTTACAATGAGCAAGTCAGAGATCTATTGGTTACTGATGGATCAAACAAAAGATATCCTCTTAGCTGTTACCTTAAAATTATAGAATATGTATATAATTGACTTTTTCTCTGATATTTTTTCTTATAAAAAAAATGCTAAGCTTAAGATGAAAACAGCCTTGATTGATGATGCTTGCCCTTAAGCCTTAACCATTTATACATTAGAAATTCGTAGTAATTCTCATAGAGGGCTCAGTGTCCCAGATGCAATCCTAGTCCCAGTATCATCAACAAATGATGTTATTGATCTAATGAACCTGGGCCAAAGGAACCGTGCAGTTGGTGCAACAGCGCTTAATGACCGTAGTAGCCGATCTCACAGGTATATCCTATTGTTTGTCCTGTTATCCACTCTTGTTTATATGGTGTTTTCATAAAAAAAAAAACCGAAACAATTAACAATTGGCTTCTTAAATTATCAAATTTTGCAGTTGCTTGACTGTTCATGTTCAAGGAAGAGACTTGACATCTGGTACTATCATACGTGGATGCATGCATCTGGTTGACTTGGCAGGAAGTGAGAGAGTTGACAAATCTGAGGCTACAGGAGATAGACTAAAGGAGGCACAGCATATTAACAAATCTCTCTCAGCTTTAGGCGATGTCATTGCTTCCCTTGCTCAGAAAAACCAACATGTCCCTTACAGAAATAGCAAACTCACACAATTACTCCAAGATTCACTTGGTAAGGTTTAAGAAGCTAGTTTGCTAGAGGGTAGTTGAAATTGCATTTCAGATAGCTGTGTATTCTTTTCTACTTCCGGAGTTATACAATTCTCTCAAATTTGGATATCTCTTTATGTTGGTTGGTCTTTTTTCAGGAGGACAGGCCAAGACATTAATGTTTGTTCACATAAGTCCAGGGGTTGATGCTATTGGAGAAACAATTAGCACACTAAAATTTGCAGAACGAGTTGCTACGGTTGAACTTGGTGCTGCTCGAGTAAACAAGGATGGAGCAGATGTCAAAGAGCTCAAAGAACAGGTTGATATTCAAATTTGACCGCTATAGTTTTTCATAATAATCTTATAGTCTTACCAATTTTTTAATACTGTTCAGATAACGATCCTTAAGGCAGCATTGGCAAGAAAAGAAGGGGAGTCAGAACATTCTTTATCTGGAAGCACCGGAAAATGTAGGACAATGGCTAGTGAGCTATCACCTTACCATGCAAACCAGCGTGATGCAAATATTGTGAGTGGCCTTGGGTGTAGACAACCCATGATTGATGTAGGCAACATAGAGGTACATATACTGTCATTTGCTGATTGTTTTCTGATGTTGAGAAAAATGTTTCATTTCACAATTTTGCAAAATGCTTTGATGTATACCAAAATAGTAACCCCTTAATTTTTTAAAGTGAAAAAAGCACGTTTGTTACAAATACAAATATACAGTGGAATCCTCAACTAAAAATGGAGTTTTATGTATTATACACAGCTCCTTATATATAAAGATTTGATACAAATTTGTTTTATCTTTCCTGTGTCCATACTCCATAACACTCAGTGTTCATTGCTTAAGAAAAAGATCGTGCAAAATTATTTTTTTACTATTGCTATTGCTTGTTGAAATCTGATTGAAATTTAACCATTGATCCTGCAGCTTCACAGTAATACCACATTGAGGCAAAAATCTCAGAGCTTTGATTTTGATGAGATATCAGCAAATTCACCACCCTGGCCCCCAGTGAATAGTCCTGGACAAAACTATGGGGAAGATGATAAAGAAACTGGTTCAGGAGAGTGGGTTGATAAGGTGATGGTAAACAAGCAAGATCCAAACAGAACTGAGAACATGTTAGGGTGTTGGGAAGCAGACAATGGAAACTTATCTGAGGTCTTTTATCAGAAATATCTCCAAGATTCTTCCAAAATATACTCAGAACGATCCTACAATATGTTCATGGGAAGCAACCAGTTTAACATTGCTGGTTCAGATGACATGGATGATCTTGATGATGCAACAACTGATTCCTCAGAACCTGATTTACTTTGGCAATTTAATCATTCCAAACTCACAAGCGTAACCAATGTTAATGCATCAAAGACTACGAGATCTGTCTCAAAGCCAGCAAATAGCCCAGGATTGAGGTAATGCAGAAACAGTCTCTCTTGTGCACGCATGCTTTAATTAAGTTTATTTTTAAAAAATAATCGTTTTTTTCTAAAATTTTAAGCTGAATGAAACACGTGTCATCATAGTTCCACATTCATGTCATGTATATATATCTATATTTAGATATTAAGGTTTTTGCAATTTTTGCAGCAAGAATATAATTCATTCTTCTCTTGGTCCTTCACCTTCCCGGAAACAAACAATTGGGGTCTCACATCGAACAGGAAGGCATCCAGCTCCAGTTGACATGAAACGTAAAACTGGGAGTAGAAAATAAACATGATTTTATTTATTAGGAACGATAAAAGGGTGATTTTTTTTTTCTAATTTTTTAGATCAAGAGAGAGCGCTTTTGCAATAATCTTTTTTATTTTTATTTTTTGGGTTTATGTTTGTAAGTTTTGTAACTTGTATTTACACAGATAATGGAGCAATAATGCCCGTTGCTTGTACCATGGGGGTGACATTCTTTCACTTTACACACAGGTTTTAGGTTATGTAAAAATTTCAAAACCATTGCAATGTTCAGTTGCAACAATGGTCTGATTTGTAACTTCTGGTCTGTTTTCTTATCTCTTTTTTTTTGGTTGCCCCCTTTTCTTATAAAGCTGTGCTGTCTTTTCAATTTTCTCACTTTTCTATCTTTTTCTTGTTTCATTTCTAGGCAGGCACACATGATTAATGTAAGAGTTTATAATTTGTATGCATCATTAATGAATAACGTTTGATATTGCCATTCACATTATTTCGATGAATTTAATAATACAAAATTGTCAAACTCTTTAAACGATGTTGATAATGCATCATTAGATGAAAAAGTGAAAAATGTTTTGATTGGATAAATATTATTAAATTAAATGTTATACGAAAAGGGATACGATGAATCTTTCATAAATCCATGCCTTTACATTTTTCATTGGAAATATATTAAATTAAAAAAAATCATCAAAATCAATTTTAATGCAAAATTATTTTTTCTTTAAAAGTATCAAAATTGTCGGTACTGTATGAAGTTACAATGCGCACAATGTCATTTATGGTCTCCAAACATGCTAACGAGATTATCTTTCACTATTCCAAAAAATAAATATGGAAGTGAAACCAATTTTCTCTCACGATGATTTAATTCTAAATGATTTGTTATTAATGATTTAAGATCCATAATTTGCTTATTGTAAATTAATTTTAATTCTGTTTTACTCTTACAATATTTCTTCTATATTTTTTTAAGCGTGTAGCTATTTTTCATTAAGCTGTTGATGCTATTATTTTCAACAAGTCTTTTTACAGCAGCACAAATTAAGTTGCTCAACGATTGAAATTTTTCTATCAATTAAGCTTTTATTATAATTAGAGATCGAGATAATCGTTAATATGTATTGATTATTAGTCATTTATTTATTTCTGCGAACAGGATTGATAATTCTTATTTTAGTACGTTGTATGCTATCCATAAAATGTTCTGTTTAGTTTGGACTATATTATCTATATTTTATGGTCAAGATACCGCCTAGAACGTTGGTAAACAAGTTGACTTTACAAAAAAAAATTCATTTTTGTCATTAATATCAATAAAAAAAAAGATAAAAACAATTAAGGTGAAGGACAAATAAGGATTTTAAAAATTTAAGAACTAATATGATCCTTGTAATTTTTTTTTGTTCTAGACCACAGAGATAACTTTTTTTTAAAATAAAACATTTCATTTGAACAAATACATATTGGTACTGCACTTGTAACCTTTTTTAGTTGAGATGAGAGATTATAGGGTGTTCTCAAATCCGAAGGTTTCAAAACTAATCTCAACTAATCGTGAATTCAAGAAAATTTTGCACACAAAATTCAAAGACTTCTTGCTAAATAGATACCATGCTTACAATTTAAAATTATAAGAGGGTTTATGTCATGTGGGGCCATCCAATTTGCTATATTGGGAAAAAAATGTTTGACAGATGGATGACCTTTGCCCTAGAAAGATAAACAACCATTAGACTGGCAATCTAACACCGGTGATATCTATGTTACAAGGAGAAAGATAACAATGAATATGCAACACCTGCATAATTTCAAAACTAGCATGGTGAATGTTAAAGGAGGGAACAAAACAAATGCTGAAAGAGTATGCATGTCAACACGATACCAAACAAAAATGCCTTAGAGTGAAATTTGTGATTTTGTTTTGCGTTATATATACTTCAATCATCAATTCTGGGAATCATTATCAGTTTATCCGTTTTTGCTTTTTTTTTTCCTCTTATAAAGATTTCCTTGGTCAATTTTCTACAATCATTCTTGGAGAATTGGATGATAATTGTTGAGGTTGATCTGTAGGAAAAATGGATGACAATCTTAAATTATTATTTATTTATATTTTTTACAAAATGGCTGGACCAAACCATCTTTAAAAGATTCTCTGAATAGATCAATTTTGCTTAGATTCGCCTTAAAGGATTGGTCATCTCGCTTGGCTGTTGTTGGGAACTCATAATCATAACCTGTGTCATAGTTGTATCACATTGAAGAATGTCCTATCAGAGCTTGAGATTCCTTGCAAGTAAAAAGTTGTCTGTGAAATTCTAGTACCATCATACTAATTGATGGAACGTATCACCAGTAGATTTGATGATAATGATCACCATGATTTGCATGTTAGATGATGAGAGTCTAGTGGTGGTTCCATAGGAAAGTTGATGAGTTGTAATGGATTCCCCAACTGGGTGGGAGTGGGGCAATGAACTAACGTTGATGGAATTAGTGGTGACAAAGAAATAGACTTGCCACTTTCACTATGTTAGGTTCAGTTAAGAATAGCTGTCTAGCAATGGGGAAATGCTTGAAACGAATCAAGACCACTAACCAGACAATAGGACAGGAATCCTTCAACCTTGAGCATAGAGCAAGCACTCCCATGATTCATATCTTCATTAGTTAAGATTGGTTGTACTTGTCATGACAACAAAACATAACATCCTAAAATTCAAAGCTAATAATACCATCCTCGCATATGTTTCTGCAATATCAAGAAACAATGAACCAAGATACTCAAGATTAATCCAGTGATCTGACATAACAAGAAATAAAGAAAATTGTAGCTTTGTCAAAACTAGTACACCACATCCCCTCACAATGCTCTGCCATGTACAACAAATAAATGTGGCACTCAATATTATACATGGAAAGTAGAAAGCAAATAGTGTCTTAGGCTGTACACCAACATCAAAAAAATTCTTGTACATGAATGAAGAAATTGAGGCTGTACATAAACAAACTATTTGGAATTGACAACCACTCTAGACAGACTTCTCATGCACAGACAAAGGAAGGTTCATTGAAATGTTGAAGAGAAAGAACATCTTTACATCAGGAATTTCCTTTTTATTGGAAAATTGGAATGAAGTTCTTGATGGAATATGAATTGTGTCTCATGTACAGGTTGAATCAAAGGAATGACTAGATTCTTAGAGATGATGATCTCATGCGCTTGAGACATAACTAGATGATGGATGTGGGAAAGAAAAGCAAGAGGAAAAGTTTGAGTATATGTTCTGCAGATCAGGACATGGCTCAGGAAACACCTCCTCCGAGATTCCCATTACATTAGAACAAAACCATGAGGGAGATGACTCAGAACTGGCAGAAAAAGTCACATTCGAAAGACAGATAGGAGTAAATGGCGAATCAACTATTCCTGAAAAATTCCCAGCAATAGTAATATTTGCACCAATCACATTCTGAAAAGTAATATTTCCAACAGCCGGAACTGCACTAGGATCATACTGATCATCTGGATGAGAACCATAGTATCCCGTCATGCTAATACCCAAGAAAGTATTTTCCAGTTTTGCGTCAGAAATGACAATGCCTTTCATATAGCCACCTCTACCCTTAGTCGTCTTTAGCTGAATTCCAATGGTTGAGTTGATAATATGTAGCTTCTCTGCAATTATATCAGATATTCCTCCAGACATCTCACTTCCAAATGCTAGGCCAGCGCCCGATGATGATTGTAGTTGAACGCCCCTGATGTGGACAGTTGAGGTTGGTTTGCCAAAGGAAACTCCATACTGATCCCAACCACTCTTCAGCACAATTGCATCGTGACCAGAGCTAATATTGCTGTTCTCAATGCAAACATACTCAGAAGAATCTGCAAATAGCAAATAGCAAATAGTAATGAGATTAATTATGCCCACAAAAATAAATAAAAGTTCACAGAACAGCATCCAAGAAAAGCAAGGCACATGAAGTTGTCACATGACTAAACCGAATGTGCAGTATTGGAATATATTCAGGTACATTGTTTAGAAAAGTAGAAACTAAATCAGAAACTAGGGTAAGGGAATACTCCGAATATGAGAACTGACAAATGTATTCTTTCTTCAATCCAGATTAGAACTGTTAGTACTAGCTTAAGAAAGATATAGACACTAAACAGTTCATGATTCAAAGGAGTGAGGATACTGTACTGCATCCCTAATCAGAAAAGTAACATGCAATAACTTCTGAATTTACCTGGAACTACACCGCTTGTGTAGGGGGATTCAGCTGGTGCATGAACTGTTATGTTTTGAATATGAACTTTGCTGCATGCATTGTATAGAGAAGAAACATATAAACAATATAGTTCCATTTAAGAAATAAATCAGTGACATAAACATCAACCACTTGTACCTGCAATATACAGGATGGATGCCCCAAGCAGGAGAGTTTAAAAACGTCAAATTTGAGATGATGATATTATCAGAACTAATAAGTTCTATTATATGTGGCCTGCTGTAATTTAAGGAATGAGTATTGATCAGGTCCCACCAAACAGTACCCTGGCCATCAATAATTCCATTATCACCTGATGCATTTATTAAATACATCAATTTCAGTGTGGCAGTAGAGAAATGTTCATCCTATCAAAGAAATACTTCAGAAATAAAATTTTTAATAAAAAAAATATCCCTGCCTGTAATCACCACATCACTTAAGTTCTGTCCATAAATTAAGCTGCAATATCTCCTTCCTGGAACGTCAATTCCTTGACCATAGGAAGGTAGGGGATCTACTACAGTCCATTGTGCATAATCCTGAAATGATTTACAAAAAGCACATGTAAAATTTTTCAAACCAATAAATATGGTTCATTAGCAGTTTGCTTCTGCTGATTGCAGAAAAATCACTTCATATACACTTGCTATGCTCAAGAAGTATGACAGGCAGGATAACTGGTAGGAATGCAGATACACATATAAATTGAATCTCAATATGTTGCAGAGCAAGTACACATATATTTGATTGAAAGTATAAAATGCTACCAAAAAAATTGACTACATGACTTCATAGAATTTCCAGTGAGATAGCTTTGACAAAGGGCAAGAAACAAATCTGTTAGTATCCCTCATTTTTTTTTTCATGAAATGGACAAGGTAATAGGAAAGGAAGCTAAAATTCAAGTTAAAGATTAAAACCTGAGATGCAATGATGGTTGCGCCTCTTTCAAGGAAGAGAGTGATGTGGCTGGTAAGGTTAAAACTTCCAATAAGCCACTTGCCCGAAGGAACATATAGTTGAGCACCACCTTTGTCAGCAAATGACTTGGCATAAAAAATTGCATTTTGGAACGCAACTGTGTTCAATGTTTCTCCATCTCCAACTGCTCCAAACTCTAAGATGGACACACTGTGAGGCCTAGGATCCAATGCATTATGTTTACATTGTCCTTGATCATCTTCTCCATTGCTTTCTAGAGCAGTGCTTAATACTACAAGTAAAAGCACCGATACCTAACAAAAAAAATAAAAATTGCTTAATACTACCAGTAAAAGCACCGATACCTAACAAAAAAAATAAAAAGAGAAAATTTGAAGCACACTTCTGACTCAGTATAAACTGCAGAGAGGTTAATACAGACACCAGAACAGAAGATATGATGGAATTAAAAGCATTGGAAATCATCAAAACTTCCAAACAATAAAAGCATAGCTTGAAAAGCAAAATAAATATTTTATTTCAGCTTCCACTTGAAAAGATTTTGCCTTTGGCCTAGAGAATTCATTGCCACTTAAGAGTAATTGACCCGAACAAGAGAAAGGAAAATAATTCTCCACAGCAAACAGACAAAGATTCAATTCTGTTGATTGAATGATTCTTGGAAATTAACAAACTGCAGAAGATCAAATTTTCATGCTATTATTTAGGGGGAAAAAAGTCTCATTGACTGATAGGATAAAGTTGTTTTATCTTCTATTTGTTAGGCATCAATTTGTTAGTTGTTATGCTAGTATTTTCCTTTCAGTTATTTGCTGTATAAAATGGCTGCAATGTTGCTCAGTAAAAATCTAAGCGTTCTACAGTCTATATCTCTCTATTCCTCTTGTTCAATTAAAATTCCAGCATTCTATATTTTTTAAATAACCAACAGTATTCTACATTTGTGAACATTCCATATTTTCAAAAATCAAGCAACCAGGAATCCTTATGAAACACCATGGCAATTTACAATCTATACTTAAAAGCAACTTAATTAAGTTGGACATATTTTTCAAAAATATTCCAGGGATATTATTGCAAGGTGAATATTTAACCTATGGTAGTTTAAAATAGGGCAATTAGAAACCAAATTGAGTATGAAAATCAAACTAGCAGACCATTAATAGGAAGATTTCCAGCTTGACACTTCTATGAAAAGGCCAGGGGATAGCGATAAACCGCAAATGCTGACTATAAAGATCTATGGAGTCTAGACCCATTTTCAGAGACAAGAAAACAATGTCTCAACCGACCTGCAACAGCGCAATCACCAACCTATATTCATTAAATTTGCTTCCGCAAAATCTTTTTCAAGCGTTTATCTTGACAACAAGGGGTTGACGTAATTAATGATTGAAACCCAGACATTATGACACAACACAACCTTGGAAGTCGCTACAGAAACTAGAACAAACATGAAGATCAAAAGTGGGTGTTGGGATACAAAAAAAAAGAAAAAACACCTTTTTTACAGGCTGAAACAGAACTCAAAACAAACGAACCCCCACAGTGAAAAAAAATCATTTTTCCCTAATTTCTTAGCAACGTACTTACTAGCCTCTTCATGAGTATGTATGTTCCCCTCTCCTTCAGCCCCAACAGGGAGAAAAAGCAATCTGTGAAAGCAGCGAAGGGAGAACAGTGTGGAGTGAAGAAGAGGGTAGAAGCAGGAGTAGCACAAGAACATAAGGACAGAACAGGGAAAAGAGAGGAAGTGCTATTTGGTATATAATGCCAACCAAGTACTAGAAACAATAAAACAAACGGGGGAGGTAGTAGAAAGCGACGCCTATGAATGAAAATGCCAGCTCTGCATTTCATTTTCTTTGTTATGTGAATTAAACAAATTTCCACGCATACAACAAGGACACTGGAATATAAAATTCGTATTAAACAATAATTTAGAATCCTTAATTTCCCATTAATCGTTTAATTAACCATGAAAAACCTTAATCTAAGCTTCCTCTTGCCGACACATAACCTTTGGCTCTATGTTATTTATATTTATAAAAATAAATATTTGAAATTATTTGTCAAATATTTATTTATATAGATATAAGTTATATGATAATTTATAAAAATAAATATTTGTGAAATTATTTTACTAATTTATTTTATATAATTTTAAATTTATATAATTATAATATTTTATTCATAATGTCATCATGTAATTTATATTTATATAGATAAATATTTGTTCAAAATAATTAAATTTTATTATTATATATTTTAAATTATATATCTTTATTGATTAAATATTATTAAATTTCATGTATTTTATTATATAGATCTGAATGTAGATATACTATTATTTGTTCTGACACAACATTCCTTTGTTAACAATTGTAAAATATGTCATTTTTCATTGTGTTTAATCTCTAAAACTAATTTTATCCATATTAAAAATAAACGAACCTTTTTAGTTTACATAGGAAATGAGGTTGCGAAAAAAAAAAAAGCCACAGATTGTAGAATAAATATTATATTGCGTCCGGTTAAATTTTTTAGGTGAAACAATAATTTAAGTTCATATTTAAAAGATACTTTTACTTTATCATTCGAACAAAAATATAGAATATTTGATCATAAAACTTAATCTAGTATTAAATATTAAAAAATTGTTATCACTCTTCTAAAATTTATCCTAAAATGAAAGTTTTATGAGACTCACCAATAATCTCCATCATACATCTAATCTCAACATTATACAGGATATTGAAACCTTGTTCATCATAAATAAAACCCTTTTCTAAATTCATTTTGAATTTGACTGCAAAGCAAGAGCTTAATTATTACGTGTGTGTATATATATATATATATATAACTACAGATATTGCTGTTATTAAAATGTTTTACTACTATTAGATAATAATTCTTATTTATTACGTATAGGTTACATTGCTTAAATTTTATAGTTGTTCACTGCATTATTTTACAATTATTACTTGAGAATATTAGATTGGGTCCCGCAACAATAATGTGTCGAAAATGCTAGGCTGGCTTTACTTGGCTTGCCAGATCAGAACATGGGCTTTCATTGACGTGCCCCGCCAAACCAGAGTTGTTGAGTCTTTTTAATTTATCAATAATAAAAATTTAAATTTAAAAGAATATAAATTAATTGATTAATATGAAATATTTTAATTCATGGAAATTTATAAATATTTACTATACTTAATTTTAATTAAATTTCAGTTAACTTATAAAAAATTAATTACTATGATTTCAACGTATATATTCTATAAAAAAGGCAATAATGTGAAGAAAAAAAAACATATAATATGACACTATCTCATTTTGAAGCATACTAATTCAAACTTATTATTATATGAAGGTAAACTTTTTGCACCTGTGCCACTTTAGGTTCCCTCTGGTGTTGTAACTAAACGATTGTGCCCCTTTCACACTAATTCGCCGAAAATACTGAAAACAATTTGCTTGGTGTTGCCAGCTAATAGTTGTAGAAAACTAACCCAGGAAAAAGTAAAACACAGAGAGACAAATCGACTTTAAGCATTTGTTTAAAATAAATAAATTGTTTTATTCCCTTCAATTTCATCCACTTCATATGAAAAACTGGAAACTTGATGAATTTAGAGTAAGATTTTCTAGAATAACTTGATTATTGACGCAGAGTTCTGGGTCCGTTGAATTTTACAAAAAGAACGACTGGTAGTTTCTGATCCCTGAAGCCGAAACCGAGAGAGAGAAATAGTAATAGAGACAGGAGAAGCAAGAAACTGCATATGATAATTGACTACTGATAAGTGGTTGAGGTGATGATAATTTAGAGCCTGTTTGGGAACAGCACACGTAAGTATGTGTGTATATGGATGCAGTGGTAGGTGCAGTGTAAAGGAGTGAGTAACTCCAGTGACATTACATGTGCACCGTTTTGAATCTGGCAGTACTCTCTATTTAAAACATATTTTCTATTTCGCTACCCATAATGTGCTTTTTTGTCATTTACTGTTTTCAAAGGTCTCCTTGTTATTGTTTGGTGATACTTTGCAGGCTGCAGCAATCTTATGGCCCCAACCTTCTTGAGAGAGAAAGAATCCAAGGGTTCTGCATTTACCAACCCATTGCATAGCTTCTTCATTCATGTGCTTCATGCTTTCACTTTAACCAATATTCTTGGCCTAGATAAACCGTTGATTCATATGTTATGTTGTAATATACATAATGGTTAATTGCTTAGGTTGTATTGAATTATTGGAAAGACAAGACCGAACTCTGAGTTAGAGTGATTGTATTATCGTCAGTCTAATACCATTTTTTTCTTTTTAGCGGCAGATAGCATTGTAATTCTTCTTTCTGAATCTCAGCTCAACTGCATCGAAAGTTGAGTGTAAAAATGTATTTGATAAAGATGCATGTATAAACAATAAGTTGTTTATTAAGTCACCTCCAAATCTTTAATTTTTACCTTATCTATAATCCTAGAGGACAGTTAAAAGTGAATGTAAGTAAAATAATCTCAATTAATTTATCTTACTTCTTTAAGTTCTTATTAAATATATACCATAAAAATTAATAGTAAAAGAAAATATTGTTGATTGTAATATTAGATATGGTATAAGTCTTAATGATAGTGGGCAATAGCACACTACAATGAATATTATTATTTGAACAGTGGAGCTCAACTAAAAAGAAAAGTGAAGTGTTGGACACTGGAGCAAAAATGGCCCCACTAGGCCACTATGAAACTATCAATAATGTTTTAGCGAATGCTGGTGTAAGACATAAAAGTGAAGCTTTGGTGGCAAAAAACGTGAATGGAAGGATCATTTTCATGCAAACAGGAAGCAGCGATGACTTATAAGAGAGTTGAAAACCACGGTGCTATTAGCTTTGGACAAGAACGTGCAATAAAAGCATGCAGACAATTTAAAGTAAAGCATGTGAGTGATGATGAGGCGCGCCTTATTTAGTCAAAATTGTCTTCACCAACAGCATAGAATCCTATCCAAGTCAAGACAATTTGTAAGACAACACATTTGCGAGATTCCGTGCGAATTACCAAAGAGACAACGACCAGTCTTAGACAAAAAGTGGAAAAAGTGTAATGGGAAGCATGGTAGAAACTGCAAAATAATGGTGAATCATTCGTGTTTTCAGTGATACAAAGGTTATTTTTATTTCATTTCTGCAAGATGGGTTAAAAAGTACTATAATCTATCTCTGTTTTTATGCACTCATAATGTCGTTTCTTCTCCGTTCTCTCCCTTCTGTTTAACAAACAAGAGTTTAATTGGCTTAAACGTGTTTTCAGGATTGATTTTTTGTATCATATTAAATAGTGAAAGGAATAAAAAGTGCTAAATTTAGAATAAAAATGTTAAAAAATATATTTAAGTCAATTTAATTTTTAATATTCAGTAACGCTATGATTATAATATATCATTATTCATTAAATAATAGCATAAAGTGAGAGAGATTAGTGCCCTAAAAAAATGTGAAAGTGTGTTGAATTGGATCTTAAAAAAGAATTAATAAGTAGTACTTATATATATCTATCTTCTTTTGCTAATTAATGCAATATGATATTTGCATTTAATGCTCTAAATTTTTTAGAATTTTCTTATTTATTTATTTGTTTATTATTATGAATAGTTTTTCTTTTTAATCTAAACCATAGCTATCATTCACTGAAAGTAATCACAATTCTAGAGAACTTTATTTAATTATCACATTAAGCAGTACACTTAGTGACTGAAAAACAATAAATCATAACGAAGAAACATGAAGTTCTTATGTGACCCAGATGATATTTCCTTCATGGGCTTGTTTGATAGTTATTTAAAACCTTTTGGGCCTTTTCAGGCGTATTGTTTCTTATTTGAAACAAAAAATGGAGGCCCATGTCATGTTTTTCAATTGGGCTCGAAGACTGCGGAGTGGGTGATCCTTATTGGGTACATTGCCCATTACTATATCATATTATTATTCTCTCTCTGCAGAAGTGATCAGACTAGACTAGTATTCCTCTCCGGTGACCTCTCGCCACCCACCATTGAAATTGAATAATGGCGTTGTACGTTGCGTCACGTCGTTTATCAGCTGGATCCACCTCAACGACGATCCTCGCCTTGCGTTTTATTTCCTCTTCCAGATCTTACTCCTCTTCCTTCAGGGAAGAAAGAGATACCTTTGGACCCATTCAAGTTCCCTCCGACAAGTTCGTTCTCCTTCTTCATTTCCTCTCTCTTTTTTCTCTTTTGAATTTTATTTATCTGTTCATGTACTGTTAGATTATGGGGAGCACAAACTCAAAGATCTTTACAAAACTTCGATATCGGTGGCCCCCGTGAACGCATGCCCGAACCCATCATTCGCGCCTTTGGTATTTTGAAGAAATGTGCTGCTAAGGTTCAATGAATATATTTGCTTACCGTTTTTCAACCAATTTTTTGGCATTTTGGTCCTCTATTTCAACTTAAACTGCATTTTGTAAATTGTTTTCTTTATTTAATTTCTATCGCGCCTTAAAGTGGTTATTGTTGTATCCTATTTTAATTGACGAATGGTTGTTTTAATGCAGGTGAACATGGAATATGGTCTTGATCCCAACGTTGGGAA